TAGTGGTTGAATCTGTTGGTTTTGTGGTAGCTGTTGTAATCGTTATGTTATGCATGATACGGGGGGTTTTTTTGGGGTTAGATTGCATAAATATATAAATGTGTCGTTAAACCCGCCACCACCCGACACAGCCAATTAGTAATGTTTGTGAATTAAAAAAACAGGCTAATTCCTTACTAGTACATCATACTTGTGTGTTGGAGAGCCAAGCCACAACATTTACAATCTGGGCTCAGATTGTAAATGTTAATTGGCTGTGTTGGGTGGTGGCAGGTTTCACGACACATTTATATATTTACGCGATCTAACCCAAAAAACACCTCTGTTATAGATGATATTGGTTGCGGAAGCCTGCTTGGTGTTAAACGTAAAATTATGATCGTGGTGGCTATTTACATTTTTGTGGTTGTTGTTTCTGGTGGGTGGTACAGTGAGGGAAAAAAGTATTTGATCCCCTGCTGATTTTGTACGTTTGCCCACTGACAAATACATGATCAGTCTATAATTTTAATGGTAGGTTTATTTGAACAGTGAGAGACAGAATAACAATAACAAAATCCAGAAAAACGCATGTAAAAAATGTTATAAATTGATTTGCATTTTAATGAGGGAGATAAGTATTTGAACCCCTCTCAATCAGAAAGATTTCTGGCTCCCAGGTGTTTTTTTATACAGGTAACGAGCTAAGATTAGGAGCACACTCTTAAAGGGAGTGCTCCCAATCTCAGCTTGTTACCTGTATATAAGACACCTGTCCACAGAAGCAATCAATCAATCAGATTCCAAACTCTCCACCATGGCCAAGACCAAAGAGCTCTCCAAGGATGTCAGGGACAAGATTGTAGACCTAAACAAGGCTGGAATGGGCTACAAGACCATTGCCAAGCAGCTTGGTGAGAAGGTGACAACAGTTGGTGCGATTATTCGCAAATGGAAGAAACACAAATGAACTGTCAATCTCCCCCGACCTGGGGCTCCATGCAAGATGTCACCTCGTGGAGTTGCCATGATCATGAGAACGGTGAGAAATCAGCCCAGATCTACACGGGAGGATCTTGTCAATGATCTCAAGGCAGCTGGGACCATAGTCACCAAGAAAACAATTGGTAACACACTACGCCGTGAAGGACTGAAATCCTGCAGCGCCCGCAAGGTCCCCCTGCTCAAGAAAGCACATATACATGCCCGTCTGAAGTTTGCCAATGAACATCTGAATGATTCAGAGGACAACTGGGTGAAAGTGTTGTGGTCAGATGAGACCAAAATGGAGCTCTTTGGCATCAACTCAACCCGCCGTGTTTGGAGGAGAAGGAATGCTGCCTATGACCCCAAGAACACCATCCCCACCGTCAAACATGGAGGTGGAAACATCATGCTTTGGGGGTGTTTTTCTGCTAAGGGGACAGGACAACTTCACCGCATCAACGGGACGATGGATGGGGCCATGTACCGTCAAATCTTGGGTGAGAATCTCCTTCCCTCAGCCAGGGCATTGAAAATGGGTCGTGGATGGGTATTCCAGCATGACAATGACCCAAAACACATGGCCAAGGCAACAAAGGAGTGGCTCAAGAAGAAGCACATTAAGGTCCTGGAGTGGCCTAGCCAGTCTCCAGACCTTAATCCCATAGAAAATCTGTGGAGGGAGCTGAAGGTTCGAGTTGCCAAACGTCAGCCTCGAAACCTTAATGACTTGGAGAAGATCTGCAAAGAGGAGTGGGACAAAATCCCTCCTGAGATGTGTGCAAACCTGGTGGCCAACTACAAGAAACGTCTGATCTCTGTGATTGCCAACAAGGATTTTGCCACCAAGTACTAAGTCATGTTTTGCAGAGGGGTCAAATACCTATTTCCCTCATTAAAATGCAAATCAATTTATAACATTTTTGACATGCCTTTTTTCTGGATTTTGTTGTGGTTATTCTGTCCCTCACTGTTCAAATAAACCTACCATTAAAATTATAGACTGATCATTTCTTCGTCAGTGGGCAAACGTACAAAATCAGCAGGGGATCAAATACTTTTTTCCCTCGCCGTATGGGGTAAGACGTGATGACAGCATTCGTGTCTGGGAGGTGTCGTTCTTTCTTCTTTTGTATGGCTGATGACGACGGCGACGTCGATGCAGAGCAACAACCACGATGTCACGTGCAGGTGGTCAGGCCAGCAGACTACCGCGTCAGGAGGAGTAGCGGAGGTGATGATCCCAGTGTGTGTGTGTGTGGGGGGGAGACGCAGAGAGGGAGCTTGAGGTGAGTGAGGTGAGTGTAGATCTCATGGGTACTGGAAGCGGAGCGCGGCGGAGGGTGGGGAGAGCAGAGAGAGTGGGGGGGAGAGAATTGAGAGCGCGGAGAGAGAGAGAGAGCAGAGCGAGTGTAAGGCGAGCGGAGCCGATGCTGCAGCAGCAGCGGCAGGCTGCTGGGTTTGGGAACCGGAAAGCATTGATGTTTTGGCCGTTTCCCGCCAGCAAACACCCTCCAGATGCTGACACCCCCCCATTCCCCCCCCCCCGCCGCCTACATCTCCCCACTCACCCTCTGCCCCTCCCGCCCCCAGCTTGGCACGAACACAGCCGCAGCATAGCAGGAGGGTATCCGTGCCCCGATTTGGGGGCTCGGTGCGATTTGTCGAGCATTGAGGCATTCATTCATCGGTGCTCGTCTCCTGCTCACAGTCCTGAGTCAGCGGGGGAAATTCCACATTCCTATGGCGGGGGAGGGGGATGTGCGGTGAGTCTATCCGTATAGGACGACCACACAATGTGGTTGTCAGCCGGCCGAGTGGGCCCCCCCCCGTAGGCAAGGTCGCGAGTTCGACTCCTGGTCGGGCACGAGGTTGACTCGGCCCATCATCCTTCACCCGGGGGGTGGGGGGTTGCGGTCTATGAAATGATTACCACTTTGTGGAGAAGTCGACGGTAATTTGGCATGCAGCTTGGACGCCGATGAACTTGAGACGTCGATTTGCTCGTTCGATTATCGGTTCGACGACTCGAGCAACCGGACAGCACGGGGAGAGAGAGGAGGAGGAAGGGACCGGTGGGAGAGGGGAAAGGAGGAGGGAGGAGAATGGGATGGAGGATGGGAGAGATGCAGTGTGAGGGAAGGCAGATGGGAGGGGGAGGAATTGGAGGGGGGTTGGGAATGATGGGAGAGTGGGAATGAGGGTATGGACCTGAGGGAAGGAGGGAGAAGGAAGGAGAGAGGCAGGAGGGGAAGGAGGGAGGGAATGAGAAATTGAGCGAAGGAGGGAGGGAGGGAGGGAGGGGGGGGGAGAGAAGGAAGCAGAAATTGAGGGAGGGAGGGAAGGCAGTCACGAGCAAGGCAGTGGGAGCCGGATGGGGTGGAGAGTGGGGGGAAGGAGGCGGAGAGAGAGCGGCGAGCAGGAGGAGAGAACCAGGCCACAATTTATTTTTTTATTGGAATTTTTTTTCCCTGCGATTTTCCTCCCGTGGGAATTGACGTCACCACGCGCCGCTGAGCCTCGCGCACTGTACGGCCGCGGTGGTCACCATGGCCGGGACGTTGCTCACTGCCCTCCCCTCCGTACAGCCGCTGCGCTTCCCAGCTTGGGTTCGAACCCGAGCCCTGGGTGTCCTCTCCTCCTCTCTCGCTCAGGAAGCCTGATGATTGGCATGTGGAGCCCATCGCCCCTGAACAGCTGGGTTTTTGAGCCCCGATTCCTGGGCGACATCATCTGATTATTATTCTTATCCTAATAAGGGTGGAGCGGGACTCGATCAGATGTCACTCACAGCTAATGTTGGCCTTGGAGAAGAATCGAACCCAGGTCTATGGGTTAATGAATAACCATAATAACAAGGGAAAGAGGTCTGAGTTGTAACACGCGCAGAAATCAGCAGTGAGGCGTTAACCACTGCGCCACCACTCCACTCACATCATATGATGCGTGCGTGAATATAACTTTGCCATTCACTGTGACAATCCGTGTTTGAGCCCTGGGGCTGTGTGTGTGGTGTGTGTGTGTCTCTCTCTTTCTCTCACTGCCAGAAAGTGGCCAATGCAGCAAGCAGTCCTACAATCGGATTATATAATGGAGAATGAATTACAGAACGCGTAAAGGCAACCCGCATGTGCCGGGCGATGGGGCCGTTATCGTAGAGATAACATCGCAGCGCTGTCCGCGTCAAACCGGTTCGGATATCGCCGAAGAGAAATATCTCACCAACCCAAGCTGCCAAATCGGATTACGCACGCGCGACGCTTCGCTCGCAGCTGCGTCGAGCTCCGTCAGGACGCGGGTCCGGTGCTGTGTTTTCTCTCCGAACCCAAGTGGCGAGCGTTCCGAGGCAGGGGGGGTCATCTGCCCGGTCGCTCCTCGCGTGCGCACGCGCCGAGTGACAAGTTATTTGGCTCTTGTCGGGCGGCGGAGGGGGGGTGTTAGGACACAGATTTCACGCAATTATGATCGCGGCTGCGGAAAGCAGTGTAATGGTGATTGTCCGAGTAGCAGTTATAGGCGTCGAGTCGTGAGCCGCTCCGTGGTTCTGTTCCGGTTTGTCTTTGGTTTGTCGTCCTTCCCGCGCACCTACGATGAGCGTGGTTGGCTATGTACGGTGTGAAAGAAGTTCAGCATACATAGGTATACGTGGCCACAGTCGACGCGCACTGCTGGAGACTTTTCATTGTACAATTGTTTGTCAAATGTGCTAGGAGAGGGGGTGGCGACGATTGCTATAATTTGTCCAAACAGAGCCATCATCACCCCCTACAAGCAGACGACCACCCCCATGTCACTCTTGGTCTCTTGGCTTCTTCTCAGTCAGTTCAAGCAAAATAAACTCCATTTTGTAAAAACTTTTGTATGTGCGTGCGAATGTGTGTGCGCGTGTGTGTGTCTGCGCGCGCGTGTGTGTGTCTGCGCGCGCGTGTGTGCGCGTGTGTGTGCGTGTGTGTGCGCGTGTGCGTGCGCGCGTGTTTGTGTTTGTGTGCGTGTTTGTGTGCGTGCTCGCCATCTCTCCCCCGCCCGCGCCCTCCCAGCTGGTGAAGCTGTGCGGGGGGATGATCGAGGCGGGCAAGGCGTACAACGTGGCCAACCGCCTCTTCGTCAACGGGTTGCGGGACCTCGTCACCCAGTCCCGCAAGGACGACATGCTCGTGGTCAGGAGCTCTGCCCCCCCGCCCACCCCCCGGGGGATGTGGTTCCTCGTAACCGCCGCAGATTCCCCTGCTCCTCTGTATTCACGATCGGTCGCCCGGGACACACGCAGGCTGATTCATGTGGGGGGATGGGGGGGCGGTGGTGGTGGTGGTGGTCCTTGAAATGTCAATAAATTGGTTTAATAGGGACCTCCCGACATCAATAACAAAAATCATTCAATTTATTTCACTGGGGACTCGAGGGGCGGGGGTGGCGGGGGGTCGATTGCCCCCCTCACCCCCCTCACCCTCCTCACCCGCGGGGGGCAGTGTTCGTGGCCCTCGTGCAAGAAGGGCCTCGCGAAGACTCCCGGAGCCAGACGGGAGGGAGACCGTGAGCGCTGACCTCAGAGGTTTGTGTTTCCTCTGTGGTGCAACAATTGCTGGATCTGGCAGAAGGAAGGAAGCGATGTTGAGATGTTGTGTCATCAACGGCGTTTATCCGCAGAGACCCCTTGACTTGACCATGCAAGACTTCCCCCAGATGAACACTTCCACATTTACAGACACCCCGCCGATTTGCGATGGCTGTCTCTCTCCTCGGTTAGGCGATTGAACCCTTTGTTCGCGATGGCTCCGTACCCCAGAGACGAGACTGTTAAAATGTTTCATGGGGTGTATTGATGAGAGTGGTGGGAGACATTTATTGAAAAATCACTGCTGCTCATGCCCAAAACCGTAAATGGCCAAAGACAAACAGGGCGATTGAAGGTGTAATGACACCCCCCCCCCCCCCTCATACTGGACAAAGAGCTTCAGAGCTCATCAGATTCCTCCAGTCTGAGATAAGAGACTAACCCGTTTCTGGGATTGAGGGGGCGGGGGGCCTGCGGCTGAGCTTCCGTGACCTTCACGTGACCTCAACATGACCCCCACGGGACCCCCACGTGGCCTCAACGTGACCTCTGCATGACCCTCCTTTCCCCGTCTTTCCCTTCCTGTCGAGGATTGACGCTCGGGTAAATCCACAACGAGTAATCGTCGAGTGACCGAGGCGCCTCTCACGCACGGCTGTTTAGTTTCTTGTTTTAAAAAAAAACGAAGTATTAAAAAAAAAACTGCCGGGTTGAATTTGCACGCTGGTTTTTTGGTGTTAAATGTCAACGTTCAGCGACAGCGGTGACACAAACAACAGCGGCAACAACAACAGCTGCCGACGTCGAGATGTAAACAATCGTACAGTGTGGTGTGGGTCCTCAAGAGATATTGTGATCGTCGGATATCCTGACGTCATGAATATGACGGCTGCTGTTGTTCCGGGTGGGCGGGAAGGGGATGGGGCATCGCCATCGTCGGTGTGTTGCTAAGTGATGGCCACCATCGCCACCACCATCGCCACCACCATCAGCATCATCATGAGCATCATCATGAGCATCGTGTGACCGTGAGCGTTGCTAACCGTGAGTGATGCCCCCCTCCCCACCTCCGCCGCGCCCCCACTGTTTCCATGGCAACAGGAGTGTCTGGACAAGTTTGCCTCAGGCCTGCAGGAGGTCGTCAAATTTTACACGGTGAGTGTTGTGAGATCTTTGAAACAAACATATAAACCCTCCGCCCGACGCGGAGGAGGGTGTACGACACAACCGTGCTGAAGCGGTCGCGTTTGTTCATCACGTGACAATTCCTTTACATCCATAATAGAGGTTTTTTGGGGGGGGGTTACATGGCGTAAATATTAATGTGTCGTTAAACCCGCCACCACCCGACACAGCCAATCAGCAAGGTTTGTCACGTAAACACAACATGCCAATCAGTTACCGGTTGTGTGTTGGAGAGTAAACCCACCACGACATTCACAATTCGAGTACCGTGACATTTCGCCGGTAAATTCAACGACCAGCATCATCAGGCGACAGCCAGATTCGTGGAGAAATCCTCCTGTTTCCTTCTGAACTGAAAACTCGATTGCCGTCAGGTGGAGGCGGGGGTGATCGACACACATTTTAGTTTCGGCCAGCGATTCTGACCCAAAAAAATTATCTGCTCTTACGAACGCTTGTTCTTTTTTTTAATTAATTGCTGGAATTGTTCGTCAAATTGAGTTGGGTAACCAAATAATATTTGTTTAGGGATTTGTTCGTGCGTTTGTCTTTGTTGGTGGTGGTGTCAGGGGCCACCCACCCACCTCCTCATGCGCCGTTCCGGCCCTTCGTAGGGGAGCGGTGGTGTTGTTAGCACTACGCTGCGCTACGAACCTGGCGACCCAAGTTCTATTTCCCGCTCACGGTCAACCGGTCCTGGGCCTCCACTAGGTCGGCTCAGCCTCAAATGAGTACCTGGTGCGTTGCGTAAAAACATCGCCACTTGGGAGACAAAGGCGGCCGGGCGTGGTGGTGCTGGCCCCCCACCCCCTCGTGTGCTGTGCCGGCCTTCATAGGTGCTGCTCGCTAACAGCACTTGCCCCAACGGTCTGTTAAGGCTACACGGGGGATCTTTGTCTTTGCCAGGGCCCCAGCCGCATCAACTCGCCACGCTTGTCAATCAAGTTAAATGTCGGCCGGGCGGCGGAGAGACCTTGAATTCGGACCTGGAGAATCTTCAACACAAGTCGGCTTAGTGTCCCTGACATGGCCATTATGAGCTCCCCCCTCACCCATCTCCTTTGATGTCCAGTAAATCTGGCCTCGCCTCTGGGAAACAGACACGGCAAGCGGTTTTAGGGGCCCGGACACGAATCTGTCGGAATGTATTTGTAGTCGTCGTTGTTATCACGGCACAAAGCGGGTCACGGCGTGGTCGGAACGAATTAAAAATGCGCCGCGACTCGAGTGTTGCGCAATGTCCCTTTAAAAAACACCACTCGAGGCCAGCTGATGATGGGCGCTGGTTTTTTTATTATTTCGGTTTTCTGTCAGCGGCTTAAGAGCTTTGAGCCGGCAACGTGGGGGGTGGGGGAGGGGAGCACGTGTGTGTGTACGCGTGCGGAGGGGAGGGGGGTGAGCGAGAGGGGGGCGAGGGGGGGTGATCGAGGGGGGGGGGTGAACGAGAGAGAGGGGGGGTGAAATCGTGATAGGGAGATGAGAGCGAAATAGCGATGGGGAGAGGAGAGCAACAGAGAGAGAGAGAGAGAGCAAGTGGCAGTGTGACAGAGTGAGCGAGTTGGAGATGTGAATAAGAGCGAGAGGATTGAGCGAGCGAGATAGTGAGAGAGAGATAGCGAAATCGTGACAGGGAGAGAGAGCAACGGATAGAGAGCGCGTTCGACTGTGTGACAGAGTGAGCAAGAGAAAGAGAGAGAGCGATGAATGAGAGAGCGTGAGCGAGCGTTTGCGAGAGAGAGAGAGAAAGCGTTCGAGGCTTTGTGAGCCCGTGCCTGCCATAACAATGTAGGGGCCCTCGTTTGGCCTCGGTGTGCATCGATGGTGATGTAATGCCTCGGTAAGCGACAGTGGAAGAAGGGTGGTGGGTGGTGGTGGTAGACAATGGGGGTTATTGGGGGCGGTGGGGAGTCATCGGGTTGCCGATGACATCAACCACCCTGGGGGCGAGTTGGCAGTCGGCGGGTCGCAGGTGACAGATCACGGGGCTGGGGAGATTGTACAGTGAGATGCGTGGACCACAATAGCCCTCGCCGCAATAGTGAACGCGTGACATTGCCCTGGGTTAACAATGGGCATTGTTGTTGGGTTGTTTTTTTATGTGCTTCTTTTGATGAACGTTACGAAATGCGAAAAAAAACGTTCGCCTCCAGTTGCCACGTGGAATTATTTGCTTCGGCGCAAATTATACACCAAAGTAAATTAATTCCAGCAACAACAAAAAAAGCCTTCTTAGCCCTCGTTAGCCAGGCAATCCCATCACGGGGCAAATGAACGATACACCCCGCCCCGCCTTGCCACGAGCCGCCCACCCCAACATATTTTGGGGTCACAAATTCGATTTAAGAATAAATTTTGCTCGTCTGGTTTGTCACCCTCACAATGTTTGTGCGTTGCTGATCCTCTCGACGCCTGCGGCGGTCCGTCTCACCGCTCCCCCCTTCGTACCGCGGCCTCGCGCCGCCGCCGCCTCTGCCTGCGCCGTACAGAGCGGCACGCGACGGGGAACGCTTTTCGGGACGATCGCACGCTCGAGAGACGTCGGAGGAGGAGGGACGCCCCATCGAGCCTCTCGCCAATCTCTCGACGTTGCGGGCGGGCCCGCCTGCCCCCCGGTTGAGCCACGCAAAGAGCGTGGAGACTGACGATGAGCGCTTAGTGCGAGACGGAGGCGCAGCGGTCAGCGCACCGCGCTACGAACCCGGCCTCGGCCAAGTTCAATTCCCGCTCGCGACCGATGGCAGCGGCGAGTCACGTCTGTACCGGTCCTTGAGAGCTCTCGTGCGCTCAATGGGCACCCCCCCCCCCCCCCCGCGATACGAAAAACAACGTAAAACGAGTGTACATTCTAATTCTGTGCATTATAAATGTGTGCATCATAATTGTGTACATTATAATCGTGTACATTATAATTATGTACATTATAATTGTGTACATTATAAATGTGTACATTATAATTAATATCAGATAATGGTACGGACACCCCTCTCTCTCGTGACCTCCCAATCAGCCGACGACGTTGCAGTGTCACGCATTTCTGCTGCTGGGTGGACAGAGGGCGGGAGGGGGCGATGGTGGTGGTGGTTAAAAAAAAAATCTCCCCTATTGTTCCACCGGGACACGCTGCATAATGAATTCCTCACCGTGGTTCCACGTCCCGTTTAAAAAAAGCGAGCGCACGCGGAGTAACGGTTGAGCGCACTGGACCTGCAGTCCGGTGGTCGCCGGTTCGATTCCATCTCCCGGCGCGGCAGTTGATGGTGCAAGCTTCTTAAACGCCCCCCCCCGCCCCCCACCACCACTCATCTACCGCACCTCTGTCCACCCAGCAGCGGTATAAACGGAAAACCACCACAGGGGCGCGAGTGGTGGCGCTGGTATAAAGTGTGGGTAACCCCAGCTCTTCCAGACGGTCTGACTACCCTGGGATGATACGCTCGAGTCTGGAGGGGCTATCCGAAGCTCCCTCGCGTGGGGGCCACTTCGGCCGGCGTTTGCGCTGAATGCGGCGCGTTTGCAGAGCTGCGCCTGAGCATTCTGCCCAGTGTGTGCACGCGGGTGGGTTCGAAAAACTGTGGCGTAATAGATCAAATCTATTGTCTACGGGATTGCGTAACAATGCTCGGAGAACACGTGCCTGTACACGCCTGGGCCAGAAACATCTCCCTCCCTCCCTCCCCGCCTCTCGCCCGTGTTGCTGCGACTGTTTTTTGATTCACGAACACTGCCCCCTTGCCCGACGTGCCATTGGGCACGTCGGGCAAGGCCGAGACGTCTCCACGGCGATCTGTCCGGGAGAAAAGCGAGCTCCGCGCCGGTTCTGTTATGGAATGGGCGACGGCTTTGGGATTGGCCTTCATCCAGCGGTGGATTGACCGTGGCTGATGGCGGGCGATGACGTTGAGGAACTGACGGAAGCGCCCCTCTAGGCTGACCTTTCCCGCGCTCCGTTTCCGCCGGCCGAGACGCCGCTCGCCGCTGACGTTAGCCGTGTGGTGCGCCAGCCACTGTGCCGCCGCTGCCCCCATAGTTTACGATCTTTTACACCGTCACCGTTGTCCGCTCGGCCTCGAATGAGTCCGTCTCATTTGCGTTGTCCACCTCGTTTGTATCGCCCGTCTTGTATTGTCCTTCCCGCTGGCATGATTGTCCATCTCGTTTGTTCGGCCACGAATACTCGGACAGTTCACGTGATGTCCTCGCCCCTAGCGAGCGCGGCCTCGCTAAGGCGTCCGTTTTGTGCCGGGCATTTCTCCTGCACGGTATCCACGCCGCCGCGTGCCCTGCGCTGTCCCCCGGCGCGCTCCCTCGGCCGCCCCCTGGTTCTCCCTGGCTCCCTGAGACGGCCGCTTGTCACCGTCCGCTCTGTGTGCCCACAGGTGCTGTTCGATCAGGCACACCGCTCCATCAAGCTGCAGCTGCAGAAGTTCGTCAAAGAGTAAGAGGGGCGGCTGTGCGACGACTGTGCGGCTCGCGTGCGCGCGAATGAGTACCTGGTGCGGTGTATAAGTATCACCACTGGGGGAGACAAAGGCGGCCGGGCGTGGTGCTGGCCACCCACCCCCTCGTGTGCCGTGCCGGCCTTCGTAGGCGCTGCTCGCGAACAGCACTTGCCCCAAAAGTCAGTTAAGGCTATGCAGGGGATCTTTGTCTGTGTGTGTGTAGACTAAAGTTGTGATCACAGGCGTGTTGTGAGTGTAGGGTGAGTGTGTGAGTACGTGAGGGTAAGGATGAGTGTGTTGAGTGTGAAGGGGAGAGATTGTGATGATGAGTGTCAGAGTGAGAGAGTGAGAGAGCGTTAGCGTTAGGGCGACCCGAGTTCGATTCCCGCTCACGGCCAACACCGCCAGTGACGAGTATCTTAACTGGTCCTGGGCCTCCCCTAGGTCGACTCGGCCTCAAATGAGTACCTGATGCGGTGTGAAAACATCGCCACCGGGGAGACAAAGGCGGTCGGGCGTGGTGCTGGCCTTCATAGGTGCTATTCGCTCGCTGCACTTGCCCCTACAGTCCGTTAAGGCCACACGGAGGATCTTTGTCTTTGCGAGGGCGAGAGTGTGGAGGTCACGGCGACGTCAACGCTACGCCCCCCTTCCGATCCGCTCCCATCCGACTAAGGCCCACCAACCCCCCCCCGCCACTCCCTCCCCCCCACCCCCCCACCCCTGCGTTGCCCTCCGCAGGGACGTGAAGAAGCTGAAGGAGACGAAGAAGCACTTTGAGAAGATGAGCGAGGACATGGAGGGGGCGCTGGCGCGCAACGCGCAGGTGTCGCGCACGCGCCCACACGAGATGGAGGAGGCGAGCGCCGCCCTCGCCTCCACACGCAAGTGCTTCCGCCACCTGGCGCTCGACTACGCGCTACAGGCATGGGCACGCAAGCACCGCCACAACAACAACAAGAACACAACAACACCACAAGAACACGACAACAACACAACGACGTAACAGCAACACACCAACAACACAACGACACAACAATAACACAACAACGCAACAACAGTACAACAATAACACACCGACAATACAACAATAACACAACAACAGCACAGCAATAACACAACAACAACACATCAATAACATAGCAGCAACACAAAGACAGAACAACAACAACACAACAACACAACAACACCTGGCACTCGACTACGCGCTGCAGACACGGGTACGTATCGCCGCAATAACACAACAACAACAACACAAACACCAAAAACCTGGCTCTGGACTATGCGCTACAGGCACAGGCTCGCGAGCAACGCCACAACAACACAACAGTAACAACTCAACAGTAACACAACAACAGCACAACACCACTCCTCATTGGATAGGCGCACGCAGGCAGTCGTGACTGGAAAAGCGTGCGAGGAAAGCAGATCAATCTGTAAGGGATCCACCGACCCTGAGAACCAGAACGAGCATGTGGAAAGTGAAATTGTTACTGTGAGTGTGCATCTGCATTGGCATAGATTTTTAATATCCTGTTTTCATGACGTCCGTTTTCTTGCACACACACACAAAGACAAAGATCCCCCGTATAACCTGAAACAGCCTGTTGGGGCAAGTGCTGCTAGCGAGCACCTACGAAGGCCGGCATGGCACACGAGGGGGTGATGGCCAGCACCACGCCCGGCTACCTTTGTCTGCCTCGTCGTGAGGTTTATGTAGCGAGTCACTTCGGAGACACTAATAGTAGGAGGCACAAACGTTTATTCTACACTTAAACACTTCTGGTTCACACGCGGGATAACTACAGATGTGTCAGGTGGGCCGGCACGCTGCCTGACCCACGGCGCCGAGGAGACGAAGACGCAGCACGACGGGTTCCATTCCACACGACAGCCCCGACCCAGCCTCGGGCCCTCATTTTAAGCCCCCCAACGTGGCCTGGCTCCGCCCTCGGCCACGCCCCCTTCTGGAACCTACCAGAAGGTTCTGGGCTATACCCCACGTGTCCCCACTGTCACCTTTGCCCTACATCCCTTACCCCGGCCTATCACGTGCCCTGTTAGCCGACCAGGCTCCTACATCTTCAGATGCCCTCTCTCTGCCAGCAACCATCGCTAAGCACCCCAGTGACCCATTCCATGGCATTGCATGCTCTGCTGGCAGATCGGCTGCTACACCCACAATTCCCCTCTCTGTCAGTAACCAGCGCTACGTGCCATAGTTAGCCATTCTATGTCAATACATATACACACCGCAACAATACATATACACACCGCACCAGGTACTTTTTGAGGCTGAGTCAAACTAAGGGAAGGCCCAAGACCAGTTCGGATAATCATCACTTGGTGTTGTCCGTGAGCGGGAATCGAACTTGGGTCGCCGGGGTGAATAGCACCGGTGCGCTGACCACTGCGCCACCGCTCCCCCCACACACAGACGCACAAAAATCCACATTGACACACACATGTTAAGTCAATATCAATCAATACCCTAATTGAAGGTCTGTGAACGCGCGTCGTGTTTAATGTAAACGGCTCCTCCCTCCCTCCGATGAGATCCACTCGGCAGCTCGAGCCACGCCGTACTACAGGACCCCCCTAGACCTTGGAGTGGTGGTGGGGGGGGGGGGGGCTCAGTGTGGCTGGCCAGGACTCGCTAGTGGTGAGGTGGGGGCAGGGAACAAATCCCCTTAACGATACTTACCTGCTCGTTCAAAACACTCAACGGCGTTCATCGATAACTCGGCCTGTGTCTGTGTGTGGCCCTTCTGCGTCGCAGCGACGACCCCTTGTCAAAGCAGTGATGTGCTATGCAGCAGGCCCATTTCCCCGAAGCGTCGCCTATTCTATATATTACGAGGCCACACGGTGTTTAGTGACGAATGTGTTGAGTTTTTGTGTAAAATCGTGCTTTGTCCATCGCTGCCAGTGCAGCAGCAGTGGCAGCAGCGTCACTGAGTAATGACTTGCTCGTTACAAAGTTCCTGATCGGCCGGGTGTCTCAGTGCAAGAGCGAGTGGCTCGCAATCGCAAGGCTGCGAGTTCAAATACGGCGCGGTTGGGAAGGGAGGTGGATAAAACGAGCACCACATTGTGGGAAAATCAACAGTTCGTTGTCCTACGGATGGACCTCACCCCCTTGTCACGACAATGTGGAATGGTCACATTCAACAGATGTGTAAACTGGAAATGAGCACCACCTTGATGCTGCTTTAAGCAGGAAATCACTTCGGAATGTTTTTTTTTTAAATCAAGGTTTAAAAATCCGACGGGCTGGAGTGACCCAGCCACGGGTCCACGAAGGGGGGCACAGGTAAATTGAACAGTGGGGCCCCCCATTGCATTCCTTGTATGTATCTTGAACTTCTTTCGCACTGTACGTAGCCAATCGCATTTTCCACAATCAGCCTAGGCCCCTGTCAAAAACCGTGACGTCTACTGCGATGGGGTTTGGCGCAACACCGGCGGCGCCAGGCCTCGGCTCCTCTGCTGCCACTCCGAAACCGAAAACACAGGGCGCCAATTCCACGGGTCAGGTGACGTGGCTCATGCCCATGAACGCCGCCAGGGTGGCGTGGCTATCGAGCGGGCAGGTGGTGCACGGCGGAGTGGGGGGATGGATGGCTGGGTGGGCGGGGGGCCCATGCCAACACCGCTGCGCGAGCGTGGCGAGCACGGTGAGTGTCGGCTGGAGGCTCGCGTGGCAACGCATTGAGCCGGATGGGTGCTGTGAAGGGCCCTCTCGTCGGGGGCTTACAATGCAAAGCGGCGCCGAAACCCTGGGGGGGGGGCTTCCAATCCGGGCTTCGTCCGCCCACGATTGACCAGAAAATCTCTCTCTATATATTTATACGTAACTAAATGTGATCACGTATGTAATGGGCCACGTTTCGAGGAATGGCCCTTCTGTGGAAGAAGGAGGAGGGGCCATTGAAATGTTGCCTGCTGCAGGTTTTTGAAGACCGCAGCAGTCAGGCTCTGCGGTCATCGCAGGATTGTGAGAGGTGACGGCGGAGGAAGCGGATTGACCTTGGCTGACGATTAAAATTAGTATTGCTATACTGTATTCTACGAAGAGGCTAATTCCCAGCAAAGGGATGGGGAAATCCCAGTGATGACCAACGGAAATCCGCGCCCCCACCACCACCACCACCTCACCCTCCGTGCGCGAAACGCTCGTTTGATCGCGAAAAAATTCCGGGCCAGAGTCGCATCTCGGCCGGAACGCGCCGACTTGGCGGGCGGCCCCCCGGTGCTCCCACTGGTGGAGACGTTGGAACGATTTTTACAAATCTCAGAGAAGGAGGGGAGTGAGTGGGTGGCAGCGTGGGCGGCGCTGCCTCCGGACACGACACGATCGAAGCTCCGTGCGTTGAACGCTGCTTGCGTGCATGAACGCGTGCATGAACGCGTGCATGAGCGCGTGCATGAGCGCGTGCATGAACGCGTGCATGAGCGCGTGCATGAGCGCGCGCATGAACGTGCGCATGAACGCGCGCATGAGCGCGCGCATGAGCGCGTGCATGAGCGCGCGCATGAACGCGTGCATGAACGCGTGCATGAACGTGTGCATGAACGCGTGCATGAACGCGTGCATGAACGCGTGCATGAGCACGTGCGTATAGAGGGGCGGAGCAGTGGATCGCGCGCTGTCACCACGAACCTGACCTTCCAAGTTTGATTCCCGGTCTCGGCCAACAGCGGTGACAAATTTACCAACTGGTCCTGGGTTTCCCGCCTAGGTTGGCTTGGCTTTAACTTAGCATCTGGTGCTGTGTGTAATAAAAACTCATCACTGGGGAATCAAAGGCGGCCCGGCGTGGTGTTGCTTGGCACACCACCCCTCCTCACGGGTGTGCTGTGCCGGCCTTAATCGGTGCTCGCTAACAGCACTTGCCCCAGCATCCTGTTGAAGGCTATCGGGGGATCTTTGTCCTTGTATGTGTTTGGGGAGCGGTAGTGTAGCGGTTAGCGTGCTGCGCTACGAACCTGGCGACCCGAGTTCGATTCCCGCTCATGGCCAACACCCGTGACGATTATCTGAACCGGTCCTGGGCCTCCCCTAGATCGACTCAGCCTCAAATGAGTCCCTAGTGTGGTGGGCAAACATCGCCACTGGGGAGACAAAGGCGGCTGGGCGTGGTGCTGGCCACCCACTCGCCGGTCCCGCCTTCATAGGTGCTCGATAACAGCACTTGCCCCAACGGTCTGTTCAGGCTATACGGGGGATCATTGTCTCCGTGTGCGTGTGTACATGTGGACTTGTGTGTGCGTGTGTACATGTGGACTTGTGTGTGCGTGTGTACATGTGGACTTGTGTGTGCGTGTGTACATGTGGACTTGTGTGCGTGTGTACATGTGGACTTGTGTGCGTGTGTACATGTGGACTTGTGTGTGCGTGTGTACATGTGGACTTGTGTGCGTGTGTATATGTGGACTTGTGTGCGTGTGTACATGTGGACTTGTGTGCGTGTGTACATGTGGACTTGTGTGCGTGTGTACATGTGGACTTGTGTGTGTGTGTACATGTGGACTTGTGTGTGTGTACATGTGGACTTGTGTGCGTGTGTACATGTGGACTTGTGTGTGTGTGTGTACATGTGGACTTGTGTGTGTGTGTACATGTGGACTTGTGTGCGTGTGTGCATGTGGACTTGTGTGTGTGTGTGCATGTGGACTTGTGTGCGTGTGTACATGTGGACTTGTGTGTGTGTGTACATGTGGACTTGTGTGTGTGTGTACATGTGGACTTGTGTGTGCGTGTGTACATGTGGACTTGTGTGTGTGTGTACATGTGGACTTGTGTGTGTGTGTACATGTGGACTTGTGTGCGTGTGTACATGTGGACTTGTGTGCGTGTGTACATGTGGACTTGTGTGTGTGTGTACATGTGGTCTTGTGTGTGTGTGTGTGTACATGTGGACTTGTGTGTGTGTGTACATGTGGACTTGTGTGCGTGTGTACATGTGGACTTGTGTGTGCGTGTACATGTGGACTTGTGTGTGTGTGTACATGTGGACTTGTGTGTGCGTGTGTGCGATCCTCCCTTCACCGCGTGGCGACGTTGTTTTTGCATGGGAAGCGACCTAAACAGCGCAGGCAGGGGGTGGGGGGGGGACGCTGAGCACCGATGGCGCGGCGCCAAACCTGCAAATTCAGGAAACCATTATTTTAACGGAAAAAAATAAAAACCCCACAGTCCTCCGTAACCGTAACACAGACGCGTGTTGCGTGCGCACGTGTGACGCGACGCCGGTGCACGTGGTGGCGACGCATCGCTTAGGAACCCGTGGGCCTACTCGTGGCGAATTGCGTCGGGGGGATCTCGGAAGCGGGCGGCGTGTATTATTCTACCGGCTGATACACGCACGCACGCACGCACGCCGCAGTAATCACCAGGGCGGCCCGACGGATTCGAACCACGAACCTACGCCGCAAGTGGTGAGTGAGCGCGGCGCCACGTCGTGACCCCACAAGCAGCCGACGGTTCTGGTAAAACGGCTGAAAATGTTTGAAATAAGCGAAAACAAATAGTCTTGGCGGGGAGGCGGGCGGGGGTTTCCCACCTTCGAGAGGCACGATGCTGGTCAGAGTCATCGACTAATTACACATCAATAATTTTTTTAATCAACCGATCGACTCCAATCATTCCACATCGCCGCGGGGGCCGGGAATCGTCGCCGCCTTTGCCCGTTTGGCCGTGTGATTGTTGCGTCTCATTTTGTCTCACAGATAAACGTTCTTCAGACCAAGAAGAGGCTGGAGGTTCTCGATTCGGTACGGATTCGGGCTTTTGTGGGGTTTTTTTCCGGCGGTGACGCCATTGACTGCAGTCCGCTCCGTCGTGTTGTTCTCCGTTGTTTATCCCCCCCAGCAGAATCTCCCTCGAGGTTTCTTGCCGTCGCACCTCGTCCGCCCCTCTCGCCTCCTCACCTCATCCTGGAGTCTCCCCCGTCCCCCTCGCGTCTCCGCGCTTCTAACCGTCTCCCACTCGCGCAGTCGCGTTCCTCTTGGCTCCAATCACCACTGGCCTTTCCCCTATCGTCTCTCTTTGTCTGCCTATACACCTGTCTGTTTTTCCTTCCTTTCTGTCTTCCTGCCTGCCTGCCTACCTGCATGTCCACCGATTCGTCCAATCGTCCGCGTCTCCGTGCCTGTCTGCCCGTGGCCCTATCTGCCTGTCTTCCTTGCCTGTCCGTCTGCCCGCCCGCCCGTCCTCCCGTCCCCGTCTACTGTGTCTGGGTTCTCACTGCGCCCGCGCGCCTCTCTCCCCCTCCCCTGGCAGATGCTCTCCTACATGCACGCGCAGTACGCCTTCTTCCAGCAGGGCTTCGACCTCCTCAACAACCTCGACCCCTACATGAAGAACCTCGCTTCGCAGGTGAGCGGGGTCGCCACCGCCGAGGCTCGCGAACCCGGCGCGCGGCACTGCGAGAGCCGTCGGCGGCTCGTTACGTGGGCCGGTGGGGCCGGCAGAATGTACACGTGTCAACACGTGTCTGTGTGTGTGTGTGAATGGACACATGCATACACATGTACATTCACACACACACGCGTCTGCACGTGTGTGTGTGTGTGAATGTACACGTGTCTACACGTGTGTGCGCATGCAGCCTTAGCCGGCCCCACTCCTCTGGGTTTCTCTCACACGTATCCCTCCCCCCGCTGTCTCCCACCCTCCTCCCCCAGCCCTTTGTAGTTCTGCTTCTGCCTCCCACTCTCAGGCGCCTTTCCTTCTTGCATCTCTCCCTCCCTCTTCCTCTCTCCATCCTGACTCACTCTCTCCCCTCCTCCTCCTACCAACAGCTTCCCCCACCCCTCACCTTCTCTCTCTCCTGCTCTTGCCGTTCCTTGTTTATCTTGAACTCGGCTCCATTCCATTCTCTCTCTCTCTGTTTCTCTTCTGGTCTGTGTCCTCTTGCTCTCTCCTCGCTCTCCCACACTCTCCCTTTCCTCTCCCCGCCCAGTCAGCATTGGCTGCCGACCCATGTAGGCCACGCTGTCTCGGGGGTGCGTGGCATTCTGCCACCGACGCTATTTGATCCATTTTGTTGTTTTGTGTGTGGGGGTATTTTATTATTATTTGTTTTATTCCCCCGTCTTTAAAGTTTGAATAGTAAAAAAAGATGACGCTTCGTTTGAGAATAACGGCGGAATTCAAATGAAGGTTGTGGGAGGGAGCACTATGTGGCCGTTGAGAGCCGCTTGGGTCTGACTAACCCACAAGCCAATCAGGCTATAGGCAATAGGCCCTCGGCCCTTTAACTTTGTAGGGAGCTCCTTTAGGCCCTCGATTCCACGTTGAAGTAGCAGCTGAGCGACGGTGTAGAACTTCCAGGTAAATACATATTTTTGATGACTCAATAATGTTTTGTTTGTTTGCAATATGCAGTACATTGTTAGGCCCTTCCCTCCTATTAGCCTTAGGGCCCTTGTAACCGTTATCCGGCCCGTGTTGTTGCGACCAATGTGCCCGATCTCGCCGGAACTCGGGAGGATCTAAGCCGGAGCCCGTGGCAGATGTTTCGCGGCTTTGTGTGCCGAGAAGCTCGTCAGGATCCTCCGACTCCTCTGGCGCTTGGCCAGAGGAGTTCGTGCGGGAACTCGGAGAACAGCGCACCCAGCAACCCGCGCTGTCACCGCCGATTAGTACGGCTAGGCTACGTACGGTGCGAAAGAAGTTCAACGTACATACGTACAACTTGTTTCATACGACGACCAACGTACATACATACACACCTCCTGGCCACACCTCTTGCAGCCCCCCATGCCTCCAACACCTGGCAAGCCCTGTGATGCAGGTCACCCAGTAAAAATGCAACGTTGGGACGATGTTCATCCCTCCTAATGGTTGAAACAGCCACTGAAAAGAGGCCAAAACGTGCCTTTATCTCACCACCATGATAATATCCGTCGCTCTATCAATCATCATCATCATCATCATCACTCTGGGGTCAGTAAAATGAGTTCCAAACGGTGAGGCTTGTGTACTTAGCGTCCGTGTGCCAACAACTACTCGTCGTGTGAGGAGGGAAAATCTGTAGCCTGGCATAAGAATTTATCCCCGCTGAGCGGCGCGCGGCCATGGTGCCCCCTTCCTCGCTGTGTCCCAGCTGGACCAGCTGGTGGTGGAGTCGGCCGTGGAGAAGAGGGAGATGGAGCACAAGCACGCGCTCATCCAGCAGAAGGTGCGAGGACACGCGGGGGACACGAGTGGGACACGTGGGGGACACGTGGGGGACACGCGGGGGACACGCGGGGGACACGTGGGGGACACGAGTGGGACACGTGGGGGACACGTGGGGGACACGCGGGGGACACGCGGGGGACACGAGTGGGACACGTGGGGGACACGAGTGGGACACGTGGGGGACACGAGTGGGACACGTGGGGGACACGCGGGGGACACGAGTGGGACACGGCGACGCACGGCGGCACACAGGGACGTGTGCGGAGGCACAGGGGCAAGCAGCGAGGCACAGGGACAAGCAGCGAGACACAGGGACACGTGGCGAGACACAGGGACAGGCAGCGAGACACAGGGACAATTAGCGAGACACAGGGACAATTAGCGAGACACAGGGACAAGCAGCGAGACACAGGGACACGTGGCGAGACACAGGGACAAGCAGCGAGACACAGGGACAAGCAGCGAGACACAGGGACAATTAGCGAGACACAGGGACAAGCAGCGAGACACAGGGACACGTGGCGAGACACAGGGACACGTGGCGAGACACAGGGACAAGCAGCGAGACACAGGGACAAGCAGTGAGACACAGGGACAGGCAGCGAGACACAGGGACAGGCAGCGAGACACAGGGACAGGCAGCGAGACACAGGGACAAGCAGTGAGACACAGGGACAAGCAGCGAGACACAGGGACAGGCAGCGAGACACAGGGACAATTAGCGAGACACAGGGACAGGCAGTGAGACACAGGGACAAGCAGCAAGACACAGGGACAAGCAGCGAGACACAGGGACAGGCAGCGAGACACAGGGACAAGCAGCGAGACACAGGGACAATTAGCGAGACACAGGGACAAGCAGCGAGACACAGGGACACGTGGCGAGACACAGGGACACGTGGCGAGACACAGGGACAAGCAGCGAGACACAGGGACAAGCAGTGAGACACAGGGACAGGCAGCGAGACACAGGGACAGGCAGCGAGACACAGGGACAGGCAGCGAGACACAGGGACAAGCAGTGAGACACAGGGACAAGCAGCAAGACACAGGGACAGGCAGCGAGACACAGGGACAAGCAGCGAGACACAGGGACAGGCAGCGAGACACAGGGACAATTAGCGAGACACAGGGACAGGCAGTGAGACACAGGGACAAGCAGCAAGACACAGGGACAGGCAGCGAGACACAGGGACAAGCAGCGAGACACAGGGACAGGCAGCGAGACACAGGGACAGGCAGCGAGACACAGGGACAAGCAGCGAGACACAGGGACAGGCAGCGAGACACAGGGACAAGCGGCGAGACACAGGGACAAGCAGCGAGACACCGGGACAGGCAGCGAGGCACAGAGACAGGCAGCGAGACACATATGAAGAGAAGTGCGGAGAGAGGCTCGAGTACGCACTGGGGTGTGTGGGGTTGCATGAGGATGAGTGGAGTTGCGGCCTGGCCGCTGCTAATGCTGCTCCTGTGCGTCTCTCTTGCCCCCCAATTCCCTCCCAATTGCCCCGCCACCCTCGTCCACCGGGGCTCCACCTTCCGCCTGCTGCGCCACCCTCGCCCGCTCTGCAGGCGACAATACAGGCGAGTCGGCTCCTCCGCCCTCTGTTTGACCGGCCGAGAGCCCGGCTCAGATGTTGTTATCGCTTCTGCGGGGATCATCAGGGAGGCGGTCTACATAGCAGAATATTTATTTATGCTGTACTGGAGGAATCCGATGAGCTATGAAGCTCTTTTTCACGGATGTCCGGTAGGGACACGGGATCAGAACGTTACAACAAAAAACACGATAGCAGTGCAAAGTACAAGAAACAATCCCCATCCTACCAGGTAGAGCCCGCTGATGTATGAACTTATTTTTCAAAATAGACCTGGCCACAAATGATAGAGCAATAAAGTGGCTTCTCATTTGGACATTGATGTACGGAGCTGTGGCATTCACCGGGGTTTCCCTTGAACCACCAGCAGTGTCACTTACGTAAGGTGCGCCACGGTGGCTAGGAGATGTTAACGACCTCGCCTGCTATACAGGAGGTCGCGGGTTCGATCCAGACCCAGATGCCTGCTGGATATTTGGAGTTTTTTTTCACGATGTAAGAAGCAATCTTTAATGACGTTACAAAGATGTAAATCGGTTTGCAGTTCTTCGTGTAAATAACGGGGATTTGTTAAATGAAACGGCGGATAAACTCCTAAACTAGGCCCCGTGTATCGAGGGCACTCTATATTTATCATTGTAAGCCCTCGGTGCCGGATTCACTTGGATTTAAAGCCCACGGGTCAAACGCAGATTTCAGTGGCGCTCACATGGCCATTGTGAACCCACCGAGAGGAAGGGATACACAAGCCCAGTGTCTCTATCGCAGCCATTATAGACCCTCGAGGGAGAGAGAGAGAGACAGAGAAAGAGAGGCACCCAACCCCGGGGCTCGAACCCAGGCTGTCAGCTGTCCTGGCGCGGTTGTCTCTGAATTGGCCATTATGAAGCGTGGCCATTGTGAGGCTCTGAGAAGCAGCGTCCAGCTCTCGCACTACCGCGGGCAGCTGGGTGCAGCCAAGGACCCCTGGCAGGGCGTCTAAGCTGTTGAGCCTCTGTGCCTGCAGCTGCAAGCCCTCACCCCCCCTCACCCCCACCACCCCATCTCCACTCCCACCACCTCCCCGTGCCTCGCTTCTCCGCACTGCCCTCCTTGCTCTCCCAACACCCCCACTTCCCTCCCTCCTCCCCACGGCCACCCCACCCCGCTCGCTGAGCTGAGCACTCACTCCGGTGCCAGATGGCATCGGGGAAACGGAACAAAACAAAAACCGAGGCTGCATTGGGGCCTCTCTCCTTTTCTCCGGGTTAAAATAGCGGCGGGCGGCTGAGGGCATCGACGCCGCCATCGCGGCGGCGGCGTGAGCGGAATACGAGAGCGCAGGAGAGAGTCGCCCTTTCTCACGGGCGTCGTCGTCGTCACGACCAGAGAGTTGTGATGAGTCGCAAGAGAGTCGCCCTTTCTCTTGACGAGAGAGTCGCCCTTTCTCTTGACGAGAGAGTCGCCCTTTCTCTTGATGAGAGAGTCGCCCTTTCTCTTGACGAGAGAGTCGCCCTTTCTCTTGACGAGAGAGTCGCCCTTTCTCTTGACGAGAGAGTCGCCCTTTCTCTTGACGAGAGAGTCGCCCTTTCTCTTGACGAGAGAGTTGCAAGAGTGTCGCCCTTTCTCTTGACGAGAGAGTCGCCCTTTCTCTTGACGAGAGAGTCGCCCTTTCTCTTGACGAGAGAGTCGCCCTTTCTCTTGATGAGAGAGTCGCCCTTTCTCTTGACGAGAGAGTCGCCCTTTCTCTTGACGAGAGAGTCGCCCTTTCTCTTGACGAGAGAGTCGCCCTTTCTCTTGACGAGAGAGTCGCCCTTTCTCTTGACGAGAGAGTTGCAAGAGTGTCGCCCTTTCTCTTGACGAGAGAGTCGCCCTTTCTCTTGACGAGAGAGTCGCCCTTTCTCTTGACGAGAGAGTCGCCCTTTCTCTTGACGAGAGAGTCGCCCTTTCTCTTGACGAGAGAGTTGCAAGAGTGTCGCCCTTTCTCTTGACGAGAGAGTCGCCCTTTCTCTTGACGAGAGAGTTGTTGCAAGAGAGTTGCCCTTTCTCTTGACGAGAGAGTTGCAAGAGAGTCGCCCTTTCTCTTGATGAGAGAGTCGCCCTTTCTCTTGACGAGAGAGTCGCCCTTTCTCTTGACGAGAGAGTCGCCCTTTCTCTTGACGAGAGAGTTGCAAGAGAGTCGCCCCTATCTCACGGTCGTCGTCGTCACAACGGTGTTTTTTTTTGGGTTGCGGTCGGGCACCGAATTTGGTTTCCGAAGACGCTTCTCCCGGCGCGCGGAGCGAAACGTCGGACGTCGCGCCGAATGATGCCGCGCGGCGCGTACGGTGAGCCGTGCGGCGGCACGGCCGCGAAAAAAAACCCTGAGCCAGTGCGAAATCATCGGGGCATTTGGTCACGTGTGCTTAAGTTGTTTTGATGGTTATCTCAGGCAAGAGGAGCACAGCGCACTCCTTCAGGAACTGCCGATGGGTTTTCGCATCGTTACGCAGAGGCCGAGGCCTTTGTACACCTCCGATAAGCACGGTTGGCTACGTACGGTGCGGAAGAAGTTCAACCTACACACGTACGCACATACACGCTTCCACGTGTTGTTTGAAACTCGTGGTGAAGGTGTACTGTCATCGCTGTGTATGTTCCAGAGTTTGCTGGTTAGATCGGAGTGCGTGACCATCTGACGAGTGGTAGCCACAGCCACAGCGAGTGGGTATACTGGATGTGGTGTGCAGGGGGGGGGTGAAATATTTGCCATACCCAGACATGTGCAGACCCCGGCTCAAATGAACTCCCCCCCGCTTTCTTCGCATCCGTCGAATCTGCTTGATCTGGCAGAAGGAAGGAAGCGTCGGCGGGGTGCGGGGCGGCATCGACAACCACCTGACCTTTTTTCTATATATATTATTATTATTTATAATTTCAATGTCTGGAAATGAGTAAACAAAGTGACGCATCGCGCGGGCGCACGTTTGGCGGCGGTGCAAACGACGCCGATGACGCTGGGAGCACACGCTAAAGCGTCTTCTGGAGCGTTAGCGTCGACTTAGCGACGTGGACTCCAAAGTCTACTGAACTGAGTTTGTGTATTATTGTCAGTTTTTGTAATTGTTACCAGATGTTGGGGGCTTTTTTATTTTATTATTATTATACAGCGCGGGGACTCGCAGACGGAGCGGGTACCCAGCCCTACGGCTCGTCAGGTTTTTTTACCGAATTCGTTTTTTTTACGTTTACTCCACCACCCACTCGGCAGGCCAGACTCGCAAACTCGCCACCCACACGCTGCAGCTCAGAGACCTAAGAAGTCGATATCTCTGTCCCATCCGTAGCACGGGACTCGGGAGGGGGTGGGCGCAGGGCGGTGCAACGGTGACACTCGCACGCCTCACCCCGTGCGAAGTTTGTTTCTTGCCCCGGTTCTGCAGAGCGTGGGAGTGAGCCGGTGTGAGAGGAAGTCAGTGAGGGTGCGAGCCTGAGACTTAAGAGGTAGGGCCCCACTGAGCTACGTAGCTCTTTTTCAGAAGCGACCTGGCCACAGATGATAGCTCAACGGAAGCGGCTTATCGCGTGGAAATTTATTGCAGCCAAATACTCTAAAAGCGTGATGTTGATTCTAGTTGTGGAGGGGAAAACCAGAGGACCCGGGGGAAAAATCCACACGGCCAAGGGGAAAGAGACACGCAAACTCCAAATATACAGGCATCGGGGTCAGGATCGAACCCGCGAACTCCTGTATACCAGGCGAGGTAGTTAACACCTCACCACTGTGGCGGCGTGCAGAGCGCCCACTCTGTCTGCGAGTCTCCGCTTCAATAAAATAATTAATACATAATAACCCTTAAATATGGTAAGTGTTTGTGGCAGTGAGTGACGATGTGAGAGTGAGTGTGTGAGTGACAAACTACCAGAGGAAGTGTATGAGAGTGATGGTGTGTGAGAGTGATGGTGAGTGAGAGTAGGTGAGTGTGTGAGCGTGAATGAGAGTGAGTGGAGTTTGTATGTTCTCTCCTTGTTCTGCATCGGTTTCCTCTGAGTTCCTCCAATGCCTAATAAACACACACACGCACACAATGTAACTGGTATTGACCAAACATTCCAATGCTGAGAGATTACGTGCAAATTACTCAATTACACATTGTCCCCTGACCGCTAAAATCTGGCAAGGCCCTCCTGAAAAAAATTATTGAGACTGAGTCAGGCTTTCCTAAGTAAAAAAGCGTAGTAATACTAATAATACACCTTTAACTCAATCATAAAGTTGTGAGTTGAAATCCTGGTGAGGGATGGGGATGGGTGGGTGTGTGTGACTCGACCCATGACCACCACGACGCTCTGTGTTGCTGGGTTGGAAAATGTAAAACTGGTCCCCACCATGGGAATGTGGAATTTCCACCGCCGGCTCTCAGGGAATCTGCCGACGGAGACGAGCAACATCCACTGTGCTCGCCTGAGATGGGGGGAGGTCATGTCTGGGAGGAGGTCACGGCTGGGGGGAGGTCACGGCTGGGGAGAGGTCACGGCTGGGAGGTCACGGGTGGGAGGAGGTCACGGGTGGGAGGCAGTTACAGCTGGGGGGAGGTCACGGCTGGGGGAAGGTCACAGCTGGGGGCAGGTCACAGCTGGCTCTTCCCTGCGAGCGGTAATTTTTGTTAACGTGCGCTCGCTAACAAGGCCGCCGCCGTCCGGCCCGCAGGCTGGTGGCGGCAGATGCCGCTTTTGTTGCGTCTGAAGCACAGACGGTGCCGTTTGTTTTACTTTTTTCAAACTTTTGTTCTCTTACCCCGCTCCTTCTCCGAGTCCCCCCCCCTCCCCACCGCCATTCAATTCGTTTCTCATGTTAAATTTGTCATTGGGCTTAAAGCTTCTTTTAAAGGCTGCCGTCTTTCTCGACACCAAAAACTCAAAGCGGGCTCGGGCCCAGCTGTATGCTAATGCGCCGGGAGCGCTCGCCGGCTTTCACCAGGCGTGCTTGCGCTCACGATGCACGCTCAACTCTCCATCGTCCAGGGTTATTTGGGGGTGGGGGGGGGGGGGGGAGAGGGGGGAGACTGTGTGGGGAGGACGCGTGGGATGGCACGATTTAAACAAAATAACGGACGATTAGCGGCCGCGCTGCGGTGGTCCACCTCCGATTAGCACGGCTGGCCACGTGCGGCGCGAAAGGAGCGCAGCGTACATCCACGCGGTGCGTACGTCCAGCACTGTGGTGGCAGCGGCGAGGGTCGGTGGGTCACGGCGCACATTGCTGTGGAACTCCTTTCCCCCCGTGGGTGGGGCGCCGAGAAGGAGCCCCACCGCACCGTGCCATTGCCAGGCGGAGGCGGTGTGGCGAATGTGGCCTCTCCCCCCCGTCAATTGGCTGGTAACACCTTGCTATGTAGAGGACTGCAGAGCTTGGGAGGGGGGAATTTGGTGGCGGCTCACCACTGCGTGGCTGCTGCTGCCTTCCCTCCCACTCGTCCGTGGTTCCTCCTCCTCCTCGCGACTCCGAGCCGTTCCCCGCTCTTCACCAGAGCGAGCGGACGCCGTGCGGCGGTGCCGGCGGCAGCGGCGGTGGCGCTGCAAATCTGACGTTGTTGAACCGGAATGTGAAAATCGCGCGCAAATAAGGCCGCGAAAGCGGGCAGTCGTGTTCTATAACGTGGTAGTTACGTTCCTGAAGAACACCGCGTTAAGGAAAAATCGCGTCATAATAATTATATATCATACAGTATAGGGTAAAGCACCGTCCGCGATAACTCGCGAGATGCGTGCGCAGGCTGAACAAAGACCGAGGCACGTGGGTAGCATCTGGAGGCATCCAGCAGCAATCCCGCCCTGTGTGACGCGACGCCGAGGCAGCCGTACGACCGCTTATTCCTACTCGCGCTACGTAGCTCCGTCCAACCGATGGCGATGTATCCAACCCGCGTCATGAAAACGCGCGCTACAGAAGAACACGGACTTATTCGTGGTTGTCGCCTGCCGCGGTGTTAGCGGTCATCGCGCCGGATTTGCAATTGCGGAGGCCATCGGTTCGACTCCGTCTGCCGGTGCGAGAGATGAAACAATGGTGCAGGTTTCTCAAATCGTTGGTCGTTGGTTGTCGACCGGAGCTGACACCATCAACTCAATGCACCAGAAGGTCCCTGGTTCTCGCGCAGGCGGCCCTAATCGTGGATTCGAACCCAGGCTCTCAGCGGTGCCAGCTCGGCACTCGGACGAGCCGCCTGGCCACCTCTGCGCCGCGTACCATTTGTCATCGCGTCGGCCCCTGTCACGTTGCTGCCCTTTCAGAATCGGAGTGTTTGTTTAGACTCGAGGAAGCCGATGAGCTATGAAGCTCTTTTTTTCACAGATGTGACAGTCAGGGACCTATTTCTCAGTCAGCCTGGGTCTGGTATCAAAACCGTGCAGAGCACCCTGTGCTGTAATCATTTTCCAACGCGATACCGGTACCAAAACTTGGTGACAAATCAACACCTGCCACCCGAACACAGAGGTGCCAATACCCCCCAACCTGTACCTCCGACTCATGCCTCCACTCCCTGTTCCCTCTGCCGTGACCTTGCAGGAGATCTCGGACGACGGCCGGATGGACGTGAGCCTGGACTCGCCCACGGGAGTGGTCATGGAGGGGTACCTTTACAAGCGAGCCAGCAACGCCTTCAAGACCTGGAACAGGTGAGGAGGGGGTTGGACTCAGAGGGTTCGTTGTCACGTGGCCCCACCGGCGCTGTCACGTGGCCCCGACGTCGCTGTCACGTGGCCCCGACGTCGCTGTCACGTGGCCCCGACGTCGCTGTCAAATTTGAAAACTTTACCCACAAATGACTCGATTGAGCATCAAGCACGCAGCGGCAACCGTCGCCCCCTACTGGCAGACGAGTGGCGTTGCGTTGCAGGCCTGGTGGGGTGTCGAGTCACCGGCACGCAATGGCTTTGTTCCTGCGAATGACGTCGCGCGATCTTTAGGGTTCACTGTAAAGCGCGTTGTATTTTGAGGGTGAGTAAAGACCATGCGCAGCATTAACCAGGGTGGCCGCCGCTCGCGTTGCTGCGACGACGCGTTCCTTACGCTCGCTGATGCGCGAATCGCGCGCGCTTTGAGAGTCGACTGCTTACGAAAATGGCGTACGCAAACGATACGCCGATTTGCGGCAGGGAGTGCCCTCGTAAACTTTTGACTCGCCCAAAAAAAATTCCCATAAGCCACCGGCTCGCCGCAGCGGTGAAGTCGTGTTTGAGTTGCGGGCACCAGGGTGGACCGGTTACATCGCAGGATCGTGGGACGATCCGGTGAAGCTGCCGCCGCTGCTGCCGCATTGCTATCGGTGCACAAGAACGGACAACAACAAACGAAGTCGACGCGTTGGTCAATAGTAATACGTAAATAAAATAATTGATGTCATGAGCGACCTATCGTGCAGTGGGCCCTTCTCAGCAGCTCACGGAGAGGTCACAGGGGTGGAGTCATCGAGTCGGGATGTGTTGAGATTTTTTTTGGGATGAAAGAAAGACGGACAGCTTAGGGAGGTCTTTGTCCAGCAGTGGATTGATCATGGCTGCTAGCTTTCTATGACGATGATGGTGATGAAAATAATTATGTTGGTCTTCCCACAGGCGCTGGTTTTCTATTCAGAACAATCAACTGGTCTACCAGAAAAAGATGAAGGTTTGCACGATCAGCATCTCCAGCACTCACAGCCATCTAGAGCACCACCACTATCCCCAATAACATTAACAACTCCACCACCACCACCGTTATCCTTTTAACATCTCCCAACACCCACAACAACCGCATCAACTCCTACTCTGGAGCCTGTGCATAAACATCAACTTAGATTGAAAACGAATTTCTTTAGAACTGCCTTTTGTGTTTGGTTTTTTGCCCTTCCCCCGTACCTCTGATTAGCGCGGTTGGTTACGTACGGTGCGAAAGAAGTTCAACATACGTGCATACAACTTGTTTCATATGACCACCGCCACTATTACAGCTGCCATGTGGATCAACGACCATCTCCATCACCACCGATGCCGCGCCACAACCACCAACTCCAGCAACATCGCCTCCACTATCACCGCCTCCATCACCACCCCCACTGTCAACATCATCATCATCATCGCCTCCACCAACATCACCTCCAGCTTCAAAACCACGACAACTTCCATCATCATCATGGCCTCTGCCCCCACCCAAAGACACAGATCCCCCTTATAGCCTTTCCAGGCTTTTGGGGCAAGAAATGTTAGCAAGCACCTATGAAGGCCAGCGCAGTACATGACGAGGTGGGCGGCCAGCACCACGCCTGGCCGTCTTTGTCTCCCCAGTGACGACGATGCCGCTGCTGGCGCTGCCCGTGATGCTGCTGCTGTCACCGCTGTGTCTGGCGCTGGTGCTGCTGGTGACACTGTCACTGTTGACGCTTCTGCTGCTGCTACTGTCACTGCTGTGTCTGGCGCTGGTGCTCCTGGTGACACTGTCACTGTTGACGCTTCTGCTGCTGCTGCGGCTGTCACTGCTGTGTCTGGCGCTGGTGCTGCTGGTGACACTGTCACTGTTGACGCTTCTGCTGCTGCTGTCACTGCTGTGTCTGGCGCTGGTGCTGCTGGTGACACTGTCACTGTTGATGCTTCTGTTGCTGCTGCTGCTGCTGCTACTGTCACTGCTGTGTCTGGCGCTGGTGCTGCTGGTGACACTGTCACTGTTGACGCTTCTGCTGCTGCTGTCACTGCTGTGTCTGGCGCTGGTGCTGCTGGTGACACTGTCACTGTTGATGCTTCTATTGCTGCTGCTGCTACTGTCACTGCTGTGTCTGGCGCTGGTGCTGCTGGTGACACTGTCACTGTTGACGCTTCTGCTGCTGCTGTCACTGCTGTGTCTGGCGCTGGTGCTGCTGGTGACACTGTCACTGTTGATGCTTCTATTGCTGCTGCTGCTGCTGCTACTGTCACTGCTGTGTCTGGCGCTGGTGCTGCTGGTGACACTGTCACTGTTGACGCTTCTGCTGCTGCTGCCACTGCTGTGTCTGGCGCTGGTGCTGCTGGTGACACTGTCATTGTTGATGCTTCTGCTGCTGCTGCTGTCACTGCTGTGTCTGGTGCTGGTGCTGCTGGTGACACTGTCACTGTTGACGCTTCTGCTGCTGCTGCGGCTGTCACTGCTGTGTCTGGCGCTGGTGCTGCTGGTGACACTGTCACTGTTGACGCTTCTGCTGCTGCTGTCACTGCTGTGTCTGGCGCTGGTGCTGCTGGTGACACTGTCACTGTTGATGCTTCTGTTGCTGCTGCTGCTGCTACTGTCACTGCTGTGTCTGGCGCTGGTGCTGCTGGTGACACTGTCACTGTTGACGCTTCTGCTGCTGCTGCTGTCACTGCTGTGTCTGGCGCTGGTGCTGCTGGTGACACTGTCACTGTTGATGCTTCTATTGCTGCTGCTGCTGCTGCTGCTACTGTCACTGCTGTGTCTGGCGCTGGTGCTGCTGGTGACACTGTCACTGTTGACGCTTCTGTTGCTGATGCGTCTGTCACTGCTGTGTCTGGCGCTGGTGCTCCTCGTGACACTGTCACTGTTGACACTTCTGCTGCTGCTACTGTCACTGCTGTGTCTGGCGTTGGTGCTGCTGGTGACACTGTCACTGTTGATGCTGCTGCTGCTGCTGTCACTGCTGTGTCTGGCGCTGGTGCTGCTGGTGACACTGTCACTGTTGACGCTTCTGTTGCTGCTGCTGTCACTGCTGTATCTGGTGCTGCTGGTGACACTGTCACTGTTGACGCTTCTGCTGCTTCTGCTGCTGCTGCTGTCACTGCTGTGTCTGGCGCTGGTGCTGCTGTGCCTCGTGTGGGCTGTGGCGCTGCAGGACGGACTCACGGTCGTGGTGGAGGACCTGCGCCTCTGCTCCGTGAAGCCGCACGAGGACATCGAGCGGCGATTCTGCTTCGAGGTCGTCTCCCCCAACAAGTGCGTTGTCTCCCCCGGGGGTGGGGGGCGGGGGGGGGGGGGGGGTAGGGCGGGGGGGCAGGGGACAGGGAGAGGGGATGCAGGGGGGGTGTGCTGCAGCCAATCGAAGTTGGTTTTGGGGGCTCAGAGGGGGGGGGGGCGGTAATGGTTGTCACGTGACCGTGTGGACGGCAAGGGGAATGGGGAGGGTTGGAGACAGAGAAAGAGATCGGGGTGAGGGTATGGGTAGGGTTGGGGTTAGGGTTGGGGTGTGGTCAGGATGAGAGGTTAGGGTTCGGTATTAGGGTATCTATCTCTGTTGAACTTCTTTCGCACCATACGTAAAGAAATATAAGGCATAACCGTTCATGGCAATAAAACAGGAGGTGTTAACATGTTCAAACAACAAATACTGTGGATACGTATTGCAAAGCATCAAGTCTGCATTCACCACACATTCCTGTTGCAAACCATGCAAACAAACGTGCTCTGATAATGATGATATACTCAATACTCAAGAGCCTACAGTGCTAATCGGAGGTGCGGGTTATGGCTGTGGGTGGGGTGTGAGGGTCAGAATTAGGAATAGGGTTCGGAATAGGGTTAAGAATGGGATTAGGAAGAGAATTACAGTCAGGGACAGAGTATTATTCGGGTTGCTCATTGGTTTTTTTCGGTAAAGTCACGTATGTAGAAATACAATGAAATTATATTAAAACAAAAAACAATCACGACGTTTCGATCACAACACAAGCGATCTTCATCAGGTGTCAAGAACAAATCACGGAGGTAAATACAACAAAAAGATGAGAGACGAGAATTCAACAAACCTTAAAAAACATGATGGGTTTTGGGATAGAAGAAGGGTGAGTATTACTCTCTTACTGCTGCACTGTGCTTCCGTGCTGTGGCACTGCTGTGCTGCTGCCATGCAGCACCCTTGACTCGCTGCTCTGCTGCAGCCCCGTTGCTGCTGCGATGCTGTAGTGCTGCTGCTGCACCGCTGCTGCCGCTGCTGCTGCTGCTGCACGGATGGTGCGGTCCCCGCAACGCGTTGGGGCTGTGCACGCTCGCGGTGACGGTTGCCGTGCTGCCCACCGTGACGAGAGTAAATGATAATGTTGGTGAGGAGTTGTCGTGGCACTGGTTGATTCAGAAGCTGGGCGATTGGCCCGTGGGAACCCAAACATTGACATTTTATTGATATTCACCAGAAGAACAAAAAAAAGTATTTAAAGTAAAAAAAAGATTAATGTGGGGTTCTAATTTGAGGCTGAGTCGACGTAGGGGAGGCCCAGAACCAGGTCAGATAATTGTCACTGGTGTTAGCCGTGAGCTGGAATCGAACTCGGGGTGCTGGGTTCGTAGCGCAGCGCGCTAACCGCAGACACACAAAAATAAACGACAACCGCCATTCACCACTAAGTGGCGATGTCACCACAGTGCTCGTGCCAGGCTAAGTACACTTTAAGGCCACGTGAAGTGTTGAACGCCCGCTGACAGGAAATCACGGGACAGACCCAGATGCCATGGGTTAGCTGACTGAAATGACCGGTCGCTGTACCAGCTGTACAGCACACACATGCACGCATACACACGCACACACACGCACGCACGCGCATGCACGCACACACATGCACGCACACACATGCACACACACATGCACACACAAGCACACGCACACACACGCACATGCACACATACACACACGCAAATGCACGCACACACACACACGCACGCACACACACACGCAAATGCACGCACACGCACACACGCAAGCACGCACACATACGCACACGCGCGCACACACGCACACACGCACGCGATATAAACCCCTGCCTCCACTCTCCCTCTCCCCCGTCTCATTACCAACAGAAATTTTCACACTTCACCTCTAGCCAATCCCATTACCCCTCTGATTCATAGGCTTTCATTTTACTCAATTCAATCAGGCTCGCGGCCCACTGTTCACTAATTCACACGTCTCAAGGTGACAAGGTCGACTCTTACAGCGCCCTCCACCCCTTCCCCACGACGAGAGGGCTTCAAGAGAGAGAGTTCGTAGGGTTTTGCTGCTCCTCCTCCATTGAAGAAGCAGAGGTTTCCTACATGGTCCGTTTAACACGGTTGGCTACGTACGGTGGGAATTAAGTTCAACGTACGTACATAGTTTGGGTTGCATTGACACGGTCCGCACTACTGCAGCTTGTGTCTATAACCTTTTCCCGTTCCGATGACGTACGTGTACGGAACCGAAAGAAAAACTAAAGTAAAGTATTTTGATTTAAAGCTTTCGTCACTGCAGGGATTCATATTCTTGGTTCTTTCGGTATAGTCACGTAGAAGGGAAACAATGAAATAATAAAAATATAAAACAATACAATTCTCACGACGTTTCGACTACAACACAAGCAATCATCATCAGGTGTGAAAACCACAGCAATAAAAATTTTGAAAAAAGTGGCGTTTTTTTAAACGTGGTTTGCACACCTGATGATGACTGCTTTTGTTGCAGTCGAAACGTCGTGAGAATTGTATTGTTTTATATTTTTATTATTTTATTGTTTCCCTTCTACGTGACTTTACCGAAAGAACCAAGAATATAAAGTAAAGTAACTTAATCAGTACCGAGGCTCCCACAAGGCCATGCGGGAGGGCGTGGCAGCTATCGTAGAGTGCGGCGGTCGTGTCGCTACGGTTCTCTGTAGCGAGTAACGATGTCTTTAAAAACAATGGCGCTACTAAAGCCTCTTTAAATAAAATGAACGCCGAGCCGCTTGAGCGTTCCGAGATTGAGCGGTGAACGGGATGCCCCCACACCCTGCAACTTTCAGACGTCTTGGAATGGGAAAGGGTTAATGTTCCGGTTATCGAGGTGATGTGCGCATCTGCTTATTGATGTGCGGCGGTTGATGGTGCACCATCGTTAAATTGTCATCAATCAGACTCGGGACTCCCACTTTGGTCTCGGCCTGTGGTGGTCAAAGCCAGAGGCGGGGGTCATGGGAAGGCTGTCCCCAGAGGCGTCAGTCGCAGGACATTGCAGCTACACGTAGGGTTAACATAGAGAGCCACGGCGATACGTGCAGAAGAAGGAGATGTCGCAGAAGTACTGTCGAGATCCTCGTTTCATTTACTCGCTTGGGGGGGGCGCTGCACTTCCCCACACACCCTGCTGTGAAGAGAAATGTTCACCGTACGATTGCAGTCAAAGTGATGTAATTATCAGAGATGGAATTTATCCAAATAAAGTGACAAAGCGACGTTCGTTATTTTACGAATGCGGCAAGGGCAGGCGTCGTGCTGACCTCATCGCTAACAGCACTTGCCGCTAAACTCTGATGAGGCTATACAAGGGGGCAATCTTTGTCTTTGTTGTGTACTGCAGGAGCTGCATCCTCCAGGCGGACTCGGAGAAGCTGAGGCAGCTGTGGATCCAGGCGGTGCAGGCGAGCATCGCCACGGCGTACCGTGACGCGTGCGACGACACATACGCCATGGTACGTGTGAGTGTTTGAGTGTGTGTGTGTGAGTGTGTGTGTGAGTGTGTGTGTGCGAGTGCGTGTGAGTGTGTGTGTGAGTGCGTGTGTATGTGAGTGTGTGAGGGAGTGTGTGTGAGTGTGTGAGTGTGTGTATGTGAGTGGGGCGTGGTGCTGGCCACCCACCCCCTCGTGTACCGTTCCGGCCTTCATAGGTGCTCGCTAACAGCACTTGCCCCTACAGTCTGTTACAGGCTATATGGGGGATCTTTGTCTTTGTATGTGAGTGTGTGAGTGTGTATGTGTGTGTGAGTGTGTGTATGTGAGTGTGTGTATGTGAGTGTGTGAGTGTGTGTGAGTGTGTGAGTGTGTGTGAGTTTGTGTATTTATGAACGTATGTAGCGGTTAGCACGCCGTGCCACAAACTCGGCGACACCAGTGACGATTATCTGAACCGGTCCTGGGCCTTCCCAAGGTCGACTCAAATGAGTATCTGGTGTGGCACGTAAACATCGCAACTGGGGAGACAAAAGCGGCCGGGCGTGGTGCTGGCCACCCACCCCCTTGTATGCCGTGCCGGCATTCATAGGTGCTCGCTAACAGCACTTGTCCCTAATGCCTGTTAAAGCTATACGGGGGATCTTTGTCTTAACGCACCGTACACAGCCCACTGCGCTAATTGGAGGTGCGGAGCAAGGACGACAAATGAAACACAAAAAGCAGTTCTAAAGAAAAAAATTGTGTGTGCTCGCTAACCGCACTTGCCACAAAAGTCTGCTCAGGTTATACGGGGGATCTTTGTCTTTTGGGTGAGGGGGGAGCGGTAGTGTAGTGGTTAGCGAGCTGCCCCACAAACCCAGCGAACCGAGTTCGATTCCCGCTCACGGCCAACACCAGTGACGATTATCTGAACCGGTCCTGGGCCTCCCCTAGGTCGACTCAGCCTCAAAATGAGTACCCGGTGCGGTGTGTAAACATTGCCGCTAGTGACGACACTAAGTGCGTCGTCACCACGGTTCGTCACACGTGCGTCGCAGCGCCTGGAGCGGAACGCGTCGCCCTCCACGGGAAGCCTGGACTCGGCGTCGGACGCCCGTGACCGCGGGGCGCGAGGCTGCAGCGACAACGTGCTGGCGCGCGTGCAGGCCATCCGTGGCAACGAGCGCTGCTGCGACTGCGGGCAGCCCGACCCACGCTGGGCCAGCATTAACCTGGGCATCGCCCTCTGCATCGAGTGCTCCGGGATTCACAGGTCAGAGGGCACGGGGGAGGGGGGGCGGTCACTAGAGAGAGAGAGACAGAGGGAGAGAGTGAGAGAGATGGGGAGTGGTGGTTAACGCACTGCACTCCGAATTCAAAGACCCGAGTTTGATTCCCGCTCACGGTCAACGATTGTCTGAACCAGGTTTGGGGCCTCCCCTAGGTCGACTCAGCCTTAGGTTAGTACCATCAGCTTTGGGAAGACAAAGGTGGCCGGGCGTGGTGCTAACAACCCACCCCCTTGTGTGCCTTGCCGGTCTTAATAAGTTTTCACTAACAGCACTTGCCACAACAGTTTGCATGACTACACGGGGAATATTTGTCTTTTTGTGTTTGAATGTTTGCAGGAGCCTTGGAGTTCACTGCTCTAAAGTTCGATCCCTAACCCTGGACTCGTGGGAACCAGAGCTTCTGAAGGTCTGAGCTCCCATTCATTCACACATTCATTCACTCATCCTGTAATCATTTGCTCATTGGTCTTCAAGAATCAGTTAATTCACTCGTCTATCCATTCATTCACTCGTTCTTCATTAATTTGTCCCTAAATTAATTCACTCATATCTACATGAATTCACTAACTTTTTCTCCATTCATTCATCATTCATCTCCTTCGCACGTTTTTTAATGCATCTGTTCAATAATTAGTCCTGCCAGTTCTTCATTTACCTTCCCATTCACCCGCACGCTCACCGATTGGTCTCTCTCCATTCTTCCACCGGATCATCTGTCTGAACGTTCACTTATTAACATAATTTGCCCATCCTCTCGGCCAGCCCTTAGTCGTGTGCAGTAGTCTATTTATTCTCTGGCTGCCATGAGAGGGGAGTTTGGTCATCATCATGAAACTGTCCCCCCATTTCCACGACCCCCACCAGAAAGAGGGGGTGCCTAAACAGGAAGGGGCGGGGCCTAAACGGTAAGAAGTGAGACTTAAAGGAAAGGGAAGCAGGGCATTAAAAGGAAAGGTGCGGATGGGAAGAGGTGGAGTCTACTCCGGAAGGGGCGAGGCCTAATCAGAAAGGGGTGGTGCTTGTGAACCCGGTGACCCAGATTAGATTCCCACTCAAGGGCGACACCAGTGGCGATTGTATGAATCGGTCCTGAGCCTCACTTAGGTCAACTCAGCCTCAAATGAGTACAGTTCCTCGTGCGGTGTGTAAACATTGCCATTTGTGGTGCGGGTCATCCGCCCGCTCACAGGTGCGCCGTGCCCAGCCTTCACGGGTGCTGCTCGTTAACAGCACTTGCCCCGACAGTCCACTAAAGGCTACACGGCGGACCGTTGTCTTTGTGCTTGTGTGTGTGCGTCACAGCTGATGTGTGAGCTCGGGAACCACGTGATCAACGACATCTACGAGGCGAGCGCGGACGACGTCGGCGGCAAGAAGCCAACTCCTTCGAGCTCACGGTGACGCCGCTAGGAGTCGCCGCGCTTTAGCCCTGACGATCGGCTGCTGCGCGATGTCGCTCGGTGCCTGCATTAACCGCCCAATGGCGGTCCCGCCGTCTCGATGCGGTCGTCAGAGACTTTCTCTCTGGCTCGCCGCCGCGACGGACGCCCGTGTGCGCCGCGTGATGATGTCATTCGCTCGACTGCGTTGCGTGGTGGCGAGGAGATGTTGCGGCGCAGGTTTGGCGCCATGTTGTTACGTGGCCTAACAGAAACATCTATTATTCGTAAAATCATCGCCTCCGATGTTATTTGCCATCACAATCCTTGCTCGCATCCCAGGCCACCCTTTTTCCAATTGCTATTCCAATCCTGGTCTCTTGAGTTCTCACCTAGTTACAGAATATCAACTTGAACTTGAACATCTGCTGTACCCAAGCCCATCAAGCTTAACTTTACAAACAGCTGCTGCCACCACCGACACCTGACTCCAAACTATCCGAACCCCTCGACCTCTCTAACCCCTTGATCGCTCTAACCCCTTGACCTCTCGACCTCTTCCCCCTCCCCTCCCCTGCCCCCCCCCCCCCCCCACCCCCTCCCAGCCAGGAGAAGGAGATGTGGATTCGGGCCAAGTATGTCGACCGCAAGTTCCTGCGTCCATTCCCAGAGGCCGCTCGTCTCGCGCAGGAGTCCGGTGCCCTGTGGGCCCCTCGGCCCGTGGGCCCCGCGCTGCGCCCGGGCTCCTCCCGCGCTCCGAGCAGCACCGGTGGGATCAACGCCAACATCGGCGGCGGCGGTGGCCGCGGCGGAAACACCGGAATTGGCGGTGGCGGCGGCGGAGGAGGGGGCGGCACCATGGGATCCGGAGGCTCCAGGCGGAGCGGATCGGCGTCCGGCTCTCAGCGCGGCCTGAGAGTGTCGGGCGGCAGCGGCCGGAGGAGGCGGAGGAGGAGCAGCGGAGGAGGTGGTGGGGGGGCGTCGAACGGGCCGGGCCCTGCCGGGGTGCCGCCGGGAGGCGGCGGTGGGGGTGGCCGGAGGGAGACGGGCACCTCGCTGTCGTCGCCGAGACTCCATCCTGCCGGTACGGCACCGAGAGGTTGCCCGGGTGGCATGGGGAGGGTCGGGGTAGAGTTCATTTGTTTCATGTTAATAATAACGAAGGGATTATAAATATTTATGTACCCAGGAAAGACACACTATAGCAGGGTCTTGCATTGGGATGTTTGGCCAACACCAATTACATTCATCATCGTCGTCATCACCGTGAAAAGTACGTAGGCTCCAAAGGCCCTTGTTGCGCCACCCAATGACCTCGCTGCACCGCTCGCCATCATTGCAAGGTGAGGAGGCTGGCGTCACGACAGATTTGACGAGACCATGAGCCCTCCAGTCTGAATAGGGATTCTGATTATAATTAATTGTTAATGTCTTGAGCGTCAAGCCTGCGTCGGGTTCATGAAGCCATCTGTGCGGACCTGTGAGAGTGTTATCTGCTCCTGCGTGTTGTTTCCACCAGGTACGATGATCTCGGCACAGCAGGACTCTATAAGACAAACAAAATGGAGGCTTTAGACCCGATGAGACCTCACCAGAATAAATAACGAAATAAACGAGAGCAAAATCTTTATTATTGTCATCATTACCAAGGCAGACGGACCCATCACTGTTAACCACACCGCCTTATTCCGCCCCATGCTGACCTTGTAACCCTTTCCCGTTCTGATGACGTCTGCAAGTTGCAGGGTGGGTGTCTCGTTCACCGCAGCTCAGCGCTAGTTTTATTTAGTAGTGCCTTTGTTTTTAAAGATGTCGTTACTCACCACGACCGCCACACTTTACAATACCTGGTGCCAAACTGTGCCACACGCCCTCCCGCATGGCCTGGTGGGAGCCTCGATACTAATAAAGTTATTTTACTTTCGTTTTTCTTCCGGTTCCGTACACGTACGTCATCGGAACGGGAAGGGTTAAAGACACAAGCCGTAGGATTGCGGACCGTGGCTATGTAACCCAAACTATGTACGTACGAGAATAGAATAAAAATCTATTCTCATATTTTGGGGTACTGACAAAGGAGGTCCCATGATATGTACGTACGTTGAACTTCTTTCCCACTGTACGAGGTGTGGGAATCTATGGACCATATAGGAAAACCCCAGAATCAAAGTAATTTCATTTTAGTGTATGTCATCAGAACGGAATCGGAAGGAAATAGGTGCTCGCTATAACCGCACCTGCTCCAACAGTTGCAGGTGGGTGATGGTCGTGAGTGCTAGCGGTCCTGCCCGCACACACACACACAACGCACACACACACAATGCGGACACACAACCTACACCCAACGCACGCACACAACGTACACACACAACGTACACACACACAACGCACACACCCGCACACACACACACTACACACACAACGCACACATACACAACACAAACCCAACGCACACACACAACGTGCACACACACAACATACACACACAACGTGCACACACACAACATACACACACACAACATACACACACAACGCACACACACAACACAAACACAACGCGCGCACAACACAGCCAGCGTAGCTGCAGCTGTCTTCACTGAACAAAATGTTTCCACAATTAGTCGAGGCCTCCTTGTTTGCGTGAGCTGCAGATATTTCCCCGATAAAATTTCAGCGCTCTGCTTTTATTGCCAGCCCCCTAAGCTGTGTGGGTGTATAGGAGATGTGGGGAGCGGTAGTGTAGCGGGTTAGCGCTGCGCTGCAAACCTCACGACCAACCGGGGTTCGATTCCCGCTCACTGCCAACATCAGTGACGATTGCCTGAAACGGTCCTGAGCCTCTCCGAGGTCGACTCAGCCTCGAATGAGTACCCGGTGCGATGTGCAAACATCGCCACTGGGGAGACAAAGGCGGCCGGGCGTAGTGCTGGCCACCCACCCCCTCGTGTGCCTTGCCAGCCTTCGCAGGTGCTCGCTAACAACACTTGCCCCAACAGTCTGTCAAGGCTATGGGGGGGGGGGGTCTTTGTATAGGAGGTACAGGCGCAACCCTGAAATTTCCATTCTCACGCCACTGCTGGCGGAAGGGCCTCCGCTAACAGGGAGCTCCAGAGAGCCCCCCGACGAGGATATTTTTGGCCTATTCTTCCACGCTGATCAAATAATAGTAATTGCATTTTACAGAGCATCATTCATGCCAATTGCATCTCGCAATATCATGATAATTGGATTACTCTGCTGCTGGGTGGGATGCAGTGGTAGCAGTGACGGTCACAGTGGCGGCGGTGGTGGTGGCGGTGGTGGTGCCAATGGTGGTGGGGATGGTGGTGGTGGTGGTGGTGGCCGTGGTGGTGGGGGCGGTGGTGGTCGATTTTGGTGGGGGCGGTTTTTAGACTCCCGTAGCCCTCGCCCACAACTGACGCACCGGGAGATGGAACCGAACCGGCAACCATTGGGTTAACAAGTCCAGTGTGCTGACCATTCCACCACACCACCGTCGCGTGGGTGTGTACTGTATAGTGCACGTGTTTACAAATGTATCTGTGTATATACGTGCATTGTACATAATTATGTGTTGTCGTTAAATTATCAAAGCTGCTTTGATCCATCGGCCAAAAGCCCTTTAGGCTCTTTCCTGCCCCCCTCTGCCTCCCCCCCCCACATTACCCTTGCCCCCCCCCCCAATCCCGCACCCCCAACTGACCAATTGCAATGCTTTTCAAGATAATGGAACAGATCTCTGTTGCCAAAACTGTTGGGTTTGAAGTTGCTTCGCGCTCGATAAGAATTCCAATTAAAATACGAGAAAAGTCTGGGCCCTGTTTTTAATGTCTCTTCGCAAGAGTGGCACAGATATGTTGTGTTTCTTGGCTTACATTCCATTGTTTTTGGATGATTGTGCTTCTGCGATTGGGTCTCCAACCAACAGACGCTGGTCATGTGTGTGACCGTGATGCGTGGCTGTGTGTAAACAGCTGATCCTAATGTGTGTTCTTCACATCTTATTCTCTCTCCTCTCTGTCCCTCCCTTCATATACCACACTCACTCTCCTGCACCCTCCCCTACACACCCTCCCCTACACACCCTCCCCTACACACCCTCCCCTGCACACCCTCCCCTGCACACCCTCCCCTACACACCCTCCCCTACACACCCTCCCCTACACACCCTCCCCTACACACCCTCCCCTACACACCCTCCCCTACACACCCTCCCCTACACACCCTCCCCTACACACCCTCCCCTGCACACCTTCCCCTACACACCCTCCCCTACACACCCTCCCCTGCACACCCTCCCCTACACACCCTCCCCTGCACCCTCCCCTGCACCCTCCCCCGGGCCCGCAGTAGCCGCGCTGGAGAAACAGTTCCGCAGGGACTCGCTGTTCTGCCCGGACGAACTCGACTCACTCTTCTCCTACTTCGACAACGCGGCCGCTGGAGGCGGGGCACGCAGTACGTGGGGGGCTGGGGAAGACAAAGGGGGTCGCGTCTCGGGCGCCTCTGTGTGTGTGGAGTTTGTTTGATTCCTCCCCTCCCCCCCCCCCGCGTTCTGTATGGGTTTCCTCCGGGGTTGTCAGGTTGTCTCCCATATAGCCTCCCCGATAGTGGAGGTCCTTCCTGCCCGCAGTGGCTTGATGAGGATACATCGACGACAAAGACCGCAGTGCTGGTCAACAGACGGCCGAGTGCTGAGAAATGACCTGCAAAATGTCTCCATTGGGATTACACAGAGCCCAGTACCCCCCCCCCGCCCCAACCCACACACTGTGAAAAGTTGGCAGGACCCTCCTGAAAAAGAGTCATGAGGCCCGGCGAGGCGTTCCTGCGTAAACAAAGCGTAACAATGGTAATGATAATAATCATAATTTTTTTTTAAAGTACGGCTTAATGATGATGCAGATCATTCGTTACTTTTTCACGGTGAGTGCATTTCAAACGGATACAAAAAAATCTGCGGAAGTGGGGGCAGCTCCAGGTCACTCTCGCCTGACCACCACCGGGGAGGCAGTCGTAGCTGCTCCCCCGGGGGGTGGGGGCGGGGGCTCCCGCGGATTTCTAAATCCAAACCTCCACAGCCGAGAAGCACGACTGCCCCACGTGACTCGCTAAGCATATTGCGTCTCTGGGCCAAATGAAGATTTTGGTCCTTGTGGCTCATGGGGGTCAGGACGTTTGGGTCTCCCCTAAATGACAACCGATCACGACCCAGTGACTGACGTGAATTCTAATGATGCTCTAGAAGGGGCTAGAAAGCCGTAGTTTGGCTCATGTGTTGTCAACCACCTTCCCTGCCTGCAGTGTCCTGTAACTGCCGCCACCTCCCAGTGCAGCTGCACCGCCTGCGCACTCGGTAGCTGTTGCTATGCCACTGGAGATGACTGCGCGTCTGTGTTTGTGTGTCACACGCAGAGCCATCGCAGTCGCCCGTGTCACACCACGGGGAGGAGATAGAGGGACGTTCACATGGTAAATCACGGCGACACCTGCAGCACTCAACACAGCACAGAATCAGAATATTTATTTGTACTGGAGGAATCCGATGAGCTATGAAGCTCTTTTTCACAGAAGTTCAGAAGGGGCATTTCAGAATGTTACAAACAATACGAAAACACAATAGGAGTGCAAAGTATAGGAAAGGTAAACAAATATACAAATAAAACTAAACTATTTCTTATCTGAACGGGTAAAGCCCACTTAGATTTTAGCTTATTTTTCAGACGCGACCCGGCCACAAATGATTGCTCAACGAGGTGGCTTATCGTTGCGTGGAAGTTTATAGTGGCAAAATAATCTAAATATTATCGTACACCACACCGTGCATAGCACATGACAGAGTACACACGACAGTGCACAACACAGCACACAATGCAGCCTACAACACATTTCCGGAAGACCCAACCGAGACGCATGGCGATCTGTCAGTCGCCAACTCTTACATAGCCCCTCCCACTATTCACTAGTCCCACCCACTTACTTGTAAGCCCAACCCACTACTCGTATAGCTCCGCCCACTTAGCAGTAGCCCCGTCCACTACTCGGCAGCCCCACCCACTACTCGCAAACTCCGCCCACTACTCGGTAGCCCCGCCCACTACTCACTAGCCCCGCTCACTATTTAGTAGCCCCACCCACTAACCGGATAGCTCTGCCCACTACTTTGGTAGCTCCTCCCTCGGCCTGAATCTTGAGTCAAGCGAGAAGCCAACCAATGCCAAACAAGCCACTAAAACCCCGGCTTTCACGAAAAGCTTTGGGACACCAGGACAAAGTTTGTGAACCTCCGGGGACTGTCCCGGCCAACCCGGGACATTCGGTCGCCTTAACGTCGCATCACAGTACACGGCAGAGTACACAACAGTGCGCGACGCAGCACAACGACACGACAACGCACGAGAGTGGCGTTGGTGCGGCGGTCCGCAACGCAGTGCGTAACACGGCCCAGTGGTGTGTGTGGCGCGTGCTGCGGCAGCAGGGCTCAGCAGTGACAGTGGCCTGGGCGGCAGCTCCGACGGCAGCACCGACATCCTGGTGTTCGACTCCGTGCCTGAGCAGGGTGCGCCACGCAGCCGCACGGCCACCACCGGCGCACTGACCACCACCACCACCACCGCGACACAGCGGCGGCGGAGACGCGATAACGGCAGCACCGCAACGAGAACACAGACGGCAATAACGACAGCACCACAGTGACAACACAATGACAACGGCAACACGACACTAACACACTCGCGACAGCAACATCCACGATTCATGATAATGTCGAATTCGCGCCAGCATTATCGCTCAAGGCCCCTTTCACGAAGGAGGCCCGCTGTGTTTCAGCACCGGGGCGCCGAAGAGAAGCCATACCCTGGCTCGCCAAGAGAGCACGATACAGCAAAGTGTGGACTAATCTCCATCTGTGCCTTCTGTAAGGGATAGAGTGTTTCCCCCTCGCTTCGAGTGGGGTTGTCTCCGAGTGCTCCCGTTCCAATGACAGCATCACTTGCAAATGGGATATTTCCGTGATGCTTAATTCGAAATTTCGGAATCAAATTGTTGGAAATTCAGGAAGCCGAAATTGTACGGCAATGTCTTCGGCAAGGGCTGCATTTTAAAAATATATATTTGTCCTTAGACGCGCCGTTTGAGATATTACCGAGCGTGACAGACGGACGGACAGATGTTCAAACACGAAAATAGAAACCTTTTGCAAAAATCAAGACTGAATTAACCTCACACAGTACTTGTGGTGAACATGCAAACAAAACATGCAAACAACACATGCTCCGATAATATATGATGCATTATCTTTGAAACGGATTGGTCTACACCAAAGACGGCCTTCTTTAAGGCCTAGTCTCATCAGTGTCTCACCCGTGTCACACCAGAGAACACCAAAAGGCGAATATGCATATATAACAGTTTTGATGATTGAGACATTTCAGCTTTTCCCTAGAGGGTGCCTCTCTAGAGCTTCCTATAGTTGAGGCCCCTTCCAGCACAGTGACATGAGCAAGAAATTGCAGGGCTGCGCCTCTACCTTTTAACAATCGACCATGAGGCCCCCTCCTCGTGGCACAACTTGTGCTCTGTACCGGGCTCCTATTGAAATATATTAAAAGTATACACACAAAAAAAACTATCGACCACTAAAGCACCGCCCGCCACCACCTCCCCACCTTAGCGAGCGAGTGCTCGGACGACTCGAGCCTGGAGGAAGAGGAGGCCGACGAGGAGGAGGTGGGCGGCTTCCGTCAGGACGGCGGCGAATCCTCCTCCGTCGCCTCGACCACGGGCATCGGCAACAAGGCGGCGGCCGCCGCCACGGCCACCGCGGCGGCGTCGTCTTCGTCGTCGGCCACCATGCTCCTAATGTCGGCCGCGATGCGCTCGCTGGCGCTGCGCGGGCCCCCCGTGGAGGCGACGCCCGCGTGGCTGCTGCGCCGCGCGGCGCTGGCTCGCTGCCTGCCCATCATGGCCGAGGCGCTGGCCCACGGCGCCGACGTCAATCGGCCGAGCGAACTTGGGGAGCGCGACGACGACGACGACGAGGAGCGGGACGAGGGGGAGGAGGACGACGAGGAAGGGAACAACGGCGGAGGTGGACGGGGCGCCAGCGCAGACAACGAGGGACGGACGCCGCTCGTTTACGCCGTGTATGGGGTACGTACGTGTGTGCGTGTGTGCGTGTGTGCGTGTGGAGCGATAGTGTAGCGGTTAGCGCGCTGCGCTATGAACCTGGCGACCCGGGTTCGATTCCCGCTCATGGCCAACACCAGTGACAATTATGTTAACCGGTCCCGGGCCTCCCCTAGGTCGACTCAGCCTCAAATGAGTACCTGGTGCGGTGTGTAAACATCGCGACTAGACAAAGGCGGTCGGACGTGGTGCTGGCCACCCACCCCCTCGTGTACCGTTCCGGCCTTCATAGGTGCTCGCTAACAGCACTTGCCCCTACAGTCTGTTAAGGCTATATGGGGGATCTTTTTCTTTGCCCTAGAATGAATAAGCCAGCCGTGTGAGTTCGGGCTTGTGGCGCAGACATCCACGTGTGAATCCAGCGCTGTGGTGGCAGCGATTGTAATTACACTGCAATATTTCATTTAAACTTGGAACAACAGTATTCACTCACTCGGGAAGAGAAAGACTCAGGCGTGAAGAAAGAGGAAGTCACGCGGTGAGCCGGATCCCAACGATTGCCCATAGAGGAACTTGGCTCATCGCTGAGCACATCGTTACATGTTTACCGGGTAACCTGCGCTGTTAGCGAGCACCTATTAAGGCTTGTGTAACGATGTCGTTGATGATGCTTGGTTAGTAGTCGTGGTGGTGGTGGTGGTGACAAAGCGAATCGCCTTTGGCATCATCTCAACGGCACGTCGCAACACTTGCCCATAACAAATACTCATTTCAGGCCGAGTTGACGTGTGTGTGCGCGTGTGCGCGTGTGTGCGCGTGCACGCGTGCGTGTGTGTGCGTGCGTGTGTGCGTGTGTGTGCGTGCGTGTGTGCGTGTGTGCGTGCGTGTGTGTGTGTGTGCGTGTGTGCGTGTGTATGTGTGGGGTGCTGCGGTGGGTAACTCCGTGGGTTCGATCCTGACCCTGACGCCTGTTGTATACTTCGAGTTTGCGTGTCTCTCTTTCTGCCCGTGGTCACGTGGATTTTTCTCCGGGTCCTCCGCTATTTCCCTCCACATTTAGAATCAACGTGTGTTTAGAGTATTTGCCTGCTATACATTTCCACGTGATAAGCCACTTCGTTGATCTATAATTTGTGGCCAGTTCGCTTCTAGCTCAGTGGGCCTTACCTGGTAAAACAGAAAAATAGTTCGTATGTTCAACTTCTTTTGCACCGTACGTAGCCACCCGTGCTAATCGGAGGTGTGGAAGAAGGACAACAAACTAAAGACAAAACGCAGTTCTCAAGAAATGAGTTGTCAATCTAGATGATCACTTAAAACTGCATAGCTCCAGCGGCTTCCTAATATCGGAAGGAAGAGCATTCCAGACGGCCGCAGAAGCGCACCTGAAAGCGCCGCGCGATGCGGTCGCCGCCGTGTTTGTTCGATGGCCAGCAGCCAAAAGCCGCCGCCGCCGCCGCTGCTGCTGCTGCGAGGGCGACCGGAGTTCCCGTGACACATTATGCTCCTAGACGAGACGAGCAGTGAGCTATTGTGGTTCATTTGTGGCAAGCGCAAATACGTGCCGGCGTTAGCGGGCGTGGCGATGAGGTTGGTTGGTCGTGAGGAGATGGGGTGGGCATTGGCTGTACACAGGGGTACTGATACGGCACAATACGACAATATTGCACAGGCATGATTCAAGACAACACCAATAACGGCAACCACACACAGACAGGGTAAAGTCCAAGATAGCGGCGCAGGCCCGCAGTTGCTTCTTCGCGCCACCGCCGGCAGAAGGGCCTCCGCCGGAGGGAACTCTAGGGCGCCCCTCTAGAGGGTATTTTGCCTACTCTTCCACGCTGGGTCAGGCATCAAGGAAGAGGTGAGGAAACCCACACTTTACCCCACCCACTCGCGGCCTGCCGATCGACTAGCTGCGGTGGACACTGCTGGGTGGACAGAGGCGGCTGGTGGGGGGGAGATTGAAGAAACTTGCACCGTTGTGTCTACCACGGCTCCGGGAAAACAAACCGGTGATCAGTCCAGCGTGCTAAGCGTTACACCACGGCCACACGCCGTGCGTTGCCGTCTTTGCGTGCGCGTACCTCTGCACGTGCGTGTGCGCGTGTGTGGGCGGGGAGCGGCGGTGCAGTGGTTGGCGCGCTTCGCTACAAGCCCGGCGACCCGAGTTCCATTCACGCTCACGCCCAACATCAGTGGCTGATGCCATGTGAACGGCTTCTGGGCCTACCCCTAGATCGACTCAGCCTTAATTGAGTGCCTGGTGGTGCCACGTGTAAACATCGCACAGCACCACAGATGGCCGGAGTGCGGTGCTGGCCGCACCCACGCTCCGGTGTGCCGTGACCGTCTTCGTTAAGCGCTTATGAACAGCACTTGCTCCGACAGACGTGCGCAGGCTACATAGGGGACCTTTGTCTTTGTGCGCATGTGATGCAGGGCTCGCTGGTGGCGTGCGAGTTCCTCCTGCAGAACGGAGCCGACGTGAACCTGCGGGACGCGCGGGATCGCAGCCCCCTGCACCACGCCACGCAGCTGGGCTACACCGGGTGAGCCCACCGCACTCGCCACACAAACCACATCCATCACACTCACCGCACTCACCACACACACCGCATCCATCACACCCACCACATACACCCCACTCACCACGCCACTCAGCTGGGCTACACCGGATGAGCCCACCTGCACTCACCACATACACCGCATCCATCACACTCACCGCACTCACCACACACACCGCATCCATCACACTCACCACATACACCCCACTCACCACGCCACTCAGCTGGGCTACACCAGGTGAGCTCACCGCACTCACCGCACTCACCACACACACCGCATCCATCACACTCACCGCATACAAAAACAACAACCGCCATTCGCCACTAAGTGGCGGTGACGTCACCACGACGCTTGTGCCAGGCTATGTGCACCCTGAGGCCACGTGAAGTGTCGAACGCCCGCTGGCAGGTCATGGGACAGGCCCAGGTGCCATGGGTTCCCTGACCGATATGACTGGCTGATGCACCACCTGTGCCCCCTACTGTGCCAAATCAGCACATACACCCCACTCACCACACACACCGCATCCGTCACACTCACCACATACACCCCACTCACCACACTCACCGAAAACACCACACTCACCACATACACTACACCCACCACGCCATACAGCTGCGGTACACCGGGTGAGCTCTCCACACTTACCATACGCACCACACAAGCCACGCCAAGCCCTCCCTGATCCCCCCTACCGCCCCCTGCCGCCCTGTGCCCCCTCCGCCCCCCCTCCCCATGTGCCCTCCCCGTGTCCTCCTCCCACCCGCAGGCAGGTGTGCCTCTTCCTGAAGCGGGGAGCCAATCAGAACGCGGTGGACGAGGGCGGCATGGACCCACTCAGCATCGCAGTGCAGGCGGCCAACGCCGACATCGTCACGCTGTGAGACACAGGGACGCGGGGAGACACGGGGGGACACGTGGGGACGCGGGGGGGGACACAGAGACACGCGGGGGGGGGGACACAGAGACACGCGGGGACACGCGGGGGACACATGGAGCTGGAGACGCACGGAGCAATGGGGACGCGGGGAGACTAGGAAAAGGGGACACTAGTGCATACGAGTCCGTGCTTATTTCTGTGTTTGCCCGTGTGTTTACCCGTGCTTCCTCGTGTGTCCTGCCCGTGCGAACGCGCGCGTGTGTGCGTGTCCCCCCGCGTGCAGGCTGCGTCTGGCGCGCATGAATGAGGAGATGCGCGAGTCGGAGGGCTTCTACTCGCACCCGGGCCACTACCCCAGCAGCAGCCCCACCGAGCAGCAGTACCGCAAATGCATCCAGGAGTTTATCGCACTGCAGATCGACGACGGCTAGACGCCCGCCCGCCCGCCCCTTCCGCTCCCCCACGCCTCACCCCCTCACCCAACAACCACCAAACCCTCATCACCCCCCCACCACCACCACCACCGACCGACCGCACGAGGCTCACGATGGCGTCCGGCTCGGGGAGAGGGGGGGTTCCAGGGGGGGGGTTCCAGACCGTGCTCGCGACACTTCCACCGTTATCCGTCCGCGCCGTTTAAACTCGTTATTTATTAACTTTGTCGTCGTCGTTGTTGTTGTTGTTGTTCCCGTTACTGTCGTTGTTGTTGATGATGATTCTTCATGTGCACCCGGTGGCTTGTGAGACCCGCCTCGTTTTACCTCTCAGCTTCCGTCACAAATCCTACGTCGCGTCTCCCGAGTCGGTGAACCTCCCGCACGCCACAACGCATTTGGCGGTTCCTTTCCATCCCACATTGTTTTTATAATGGACCTTCAAAACCATACCGCTTACACACATTACAAAAAAATATTTTACTCTTGAAGACCTTCTGAACACGAAATATGAACGTCACTTATATCCCAACCGTAAATCCTTTAAACTTGCTCGTGAATGAATGAAGAGGGGATGAAACCATTTGCAGTCGACCGGTGTTTTTTACCTGCACTTAATAATTAAATTAATAAAAAAAACGGGGACCGCGATGGACGGGCGGCAATTTCCAGACGTTGAAACGCTTCTAAAAGTAAAGGAGGATTCGTTCTCGTTTTTTTTTTAAGCTATTGGTTTTAGCCAAAGCGGTTTCGCCAAACCTCCTGAATTCGTTCGGACGCGGAAAAAAGCCGCTTCATGTACGTGTGTGTACGTTGAACTCCTTTCGCACCACGCGTAGACAACCGTTGTTCATCGGAGGTGCGGGGGGAAGGACAACAAACTAAACGCATTCGTTTAGGAAGCGTGGCCCCCCACTGGCCCCGCGTTTTGCGAGCCGCGCTTGACGCGACGTCTCTCTCTCAACGTCTCTGTGTTTTTCCACCGAGAAAGGCTCGCCGAGTCTCGACACTCGTTCGCCCTTTCCCGCCGGGGCCAAGTCAGCCCCGGCACGGCTCGTAAAGGGCCGGCCCGGGTTTATTTTTCCCACTGCAAAAGCCGAGTCGTGCCGAGGCGTGCCGCGCCGCTGACGCCGCTCCGCAACACATGCGTACGACACGCGTGTGACCTCGTATCGCGCCGATAGACATCGCGCAAAATGAGCACGTACTTTGTAGACCTTCGTAGACCTTCGTATACCCGCACCCCTGGCTCTGCTGGGGCCCCGAGCCGGATTCGCACGTTTCGATATTTTTTTGCTCGCCGGTCAGCATACCAGTTTGGGTGGGGGGGCGGCCCCCTCACTCTCTGAATCTCAGCTCCCCACGTGGGACATGGAGCCGAGTCCTCTTTATGGAATACGGTCACGCGCCTCCACGCGTGTGTGCGTGTGTGTGCACGTGGTCGAGGAAAACTGAAACGCCCAGAGAAAACCCAACACGGACGGAGGAGGGGGGGAGCACTCAAACCTACTTGCTGAACTTACCCACTGCTTGCTATAGGCACCTCCAACGCACGTTTGCTGCGAAAGGCATGTTCATCAGACATCGTCATCACCTGCCGATTCGGGCCTCTCATCTTTGTGCGATCCACCAACCCAATCGTTGAATCACTCTGTTTAAAGTGTTTTTTTTCGTCTAAAGTCATCATCGTCTCTCCCTTCCACATTCCTGCGGCAGAAGCCAGTCTGTCCATGAACACAACCTCTTTCTTAACCAGTCTCTTTTTTGATGTAGCACACGCTCACACAAACCAACACACACAGACAAAAAGCAGCAGAGATCATCCATGTAGCCTCGAACAGATTTGGGGCAAGTGCTGTTGCGAGCACCTATGAAGGGCTGGCATAGCACACGGGGCGGTGAGTGGGCAGCACCACGCGCGGCCTCCTTTGCAACGCAGGCGCGCTAACCGCTACACCACCGCTCCCCACACGGATGAACACGCACCTGGACACAGGTGGATACAGACACAGGTAGATACACAAAGGTGGGTGGACGCACACCTGGAGACTGGTAGATGCAAAGAAACATGCCCACAGGGTAGACAGGCAGCCACAAGGCCCCACGTGTTGTCCATACAGAGGGCGTGTAAGGTGGTGTATTAACCAACGTTTCAATAACTCGTAAGCTTTCGCGACCAATATCCATGGTACAGGTTTTGATCGCGTAGATATATGAATGTGTCGTTAAACACGCCACCAGGTACAAGAATAATGGGCTTGTCTAATGCGCATGTGTAGTGTTCAATTTCACTCGGACAACTTTTGTCTTTCTCCGAACACCGCTTTATTTACAACTCTCAGCATGTCCTCCACATTCCACAGTGTCCTGGTCGCCACGGCTCACTCGCCGTGCTTCACTCGACTCGCTCGCCCCCTTTGTCTCTCCACTCCCCACGATTACTTCGCTTACTCTGCCGCTAACTTCTTCGTCTCCGCTCTCCGCTATCACCGTCGCTATGCTCTCTCCACTGCTAACAACTTCTTCTTTGTTCACCGCTATCACCGTCACTATGCTCACTCCACTGCTAACTGCTTCGTCTCTGTTCACCGCTATCACCGTCACTATGCTCTCTCCACTGCTGGCTATTCTCGTCTTCAGCTCCGCTATCACTACGCTCTCTCCAAGCTCTCCACTCTTCAATTCCCCGCTGTTGACTTCAACTTCAATTCCCCGCTGTTCACTCCAAGCTTCCCCAACTTCAACCACCTCCGTCTCCAAGCTCTCCAAACTCCAACTCTCCCGCTCCAATTGCCGACCCCCCAATTTATCCCCGCTCTCATTTTAGTCCGCGTCCCAACGGCATTCCGCGTGACCTCCACCTGTTTCTCCTCCAGACCTTTAGGCGCCACTCTAGCCCTGGCAACAGCTCCAACCAATCACAGCCGTCCACGGCTCTCCCAGCTTAATTGCCCCAATATAACCTGCACTGTATTCGCCTTGGCTACAGGCTGACCCAAGATAACCCGTACTGTCTGTGTGATCCTGTAATCACGCTGTTTGTACTACGCACCTTCCTACTCCACTACACATGCCTACTATGCACGGTGATTACCATATAATTAACACAAACGGCAATGGTATCCCATAGTCATTTATATTCCCCCCTCCCACTTCGCGCAAGAAGAGCACACGAGTGACGTCATCGCATCTACCCCTCTATTTAAGGAACGAAACAGGAAGATTTCTCCACAAATCCGGCTGTCGACTGTTGAAGCTAGTTGTAATTACTGGTGAAACGTCGTACTCAGATTATAAATGTTGTGGCTTTGCTCTCCAACACACCGGTGTGCTGTACTAGTGTAGTGACACCCACTACACTAGTAACGAATTGGCCCGTTCTGTTCACGTGACAAACCTTACTAATTGGCTGTGTCGGGGGGGTGGCGGGTTTAACGACATTTATATATTTACGCGATCTAACCCAAAAACCTGCATTATGGTTTCAATAACTGCAGTATATACGCGATGGTGTACGTGCAACTGGGTTTTTTGTGGATAAAGGCACCACCGATTAGCACGGTAGGCTACGTAAGGTTCTAAAGAAGCAGTACCGTGCCCATGTGGGTGTGGGGAACTAATCCACTAAAGTCGTGATGGTGGCTATAACGATGCTTATATTGAGGTGGTTAATGGTTATAGAGATAAGGGATAAGATGAAAATGGTGATGGAAACAGATGGTAGTGGTGGTAATTATTATGATGAAAGGGATCAGGATTATATTGATTATGGTGATGGAGATAATTGCGATGAGGATGGTGTTGATGATGATCGTCGTGACTTTTGATGATGTCATAGACGATAGTGATGATGATTATTGATGATGGTTATAGACTATAGTGATGATCATATTGTTATTCTGGTAGATGATGGTGAAAGTGATGATGATGGTGAAAGTGATGATGATGGTGATGAAGATTGTGGGACTTGCCGGTGATATCATCAACCACACCATCTCTCTCGACCAAGGGGTCGTCGTCAACCTGTGGGACTTGCCGGTGATGTCATCAACCACGTCATCTCTCTAGACCAAGGGGTCGTCGTCAACCTGTGGGACTTGCCGGTGATGTCATCAACCACGCCATCTCTCTAGATCAAGGGGTCGTCGTCAACCTGCGGGACTTGCCGGTGATGTCATCAACCACGCCATCTCTCTAGATCAAGGGGTCGTCGTCAACCTGCGGGACTTGCCGGTGATGTCATCAACCACGCCATCTCTCTAGACCAAGGGGTCGTCGTCAACCTGTGGGACTTGCCGGTGATGTCATCAACCACGCCATCTCTCTAGACCAAGGGGTCGTCGTCAACCTGCGGGACTTGCCGGTGATGTCATCAACCACGCCATCTCTCTAGACCAAGCGGTCGTCGTCAACCTGCGGGACTTGCCGGTGATGTCATCAACCACGTCATCTCTCTAGACCAAGGGGTCATCGTCAACCTGTGGGACTTGCTGGTGATGTCATCAACCACGCCATCTCTCTAGACCAAGGGGTCGTCGCCAACCTGCGGCTACGGAGCCGCTGCTTCGTGCTTCCCGGCACTATAATTGCAAAGTTTAACAACAACAAAAACTAGGCACATTTTATTTTCGATAAACGGCGAACGTCTAAAAGGCCATCGGTAATATGCAGTGCGACGTTACGAATTGGCGCGTTTGTTCTTCTTGAAAGAGTGGTGACGGATGGTGTGGTTTGACCTTACTCATTAGGTGCCGTCTCCTATTCACCACGTGCGTTGCGGCTCTCGACATAGAGGTTTTGTTGACCGAATTCGACGAGGTGAGGGAGGGTGGGGGGAGAAGCAATGACGGGGCCAAGATGTTTGTGGGGGATGAGCGTGAGGTGACGATGGGAGAGGAGGAGACGAGAGGAAGGAGCGAGCTCAGAAGTGAGCTGCACAGAGGAGCGGGGTCTGTTTTCACAGTGGGCGGCAGAGGGGGGGGAGGGGTTCAGAGTGGGGGTGGCCACACGCGAGTCACGTGATTAAACACGAGAGGCTTGAGCTGAGAGTGATCGGTATATAGATGATAGGGGAGGGATTCGGAGTGTCGGGGGCCGCACATACACAAAGTCACGTGATTAAACACGGGAGGCTTTAGCTGATGTATGTCGACAGCCGTCGAGATCACATTTGGGGCCCGAAAATCGACGGTGGAGGGAAAACGAGTGTTTGTCAACCGAGTGTTTGTTAACCGAACGAGTGTTTGTTAACCGAACAATGCGAATCCATCGTGGATGCCGACCGGGTCTGGTGGCCGATCGAGAGCACTTTATAATCCTCGTCACGACACGAGCCCTGAACCATACAGAACCCTCGCACGTGGAGAGGGGGAGGTGGGGTGGTACGGGGTAGATCGCACCTACAGAGCAATTACCTCCCGCTGCAAATTCCTGGCCACGTATCCTTCACCGTACTTGCTGCTCTTGCGTTTATGTGAAGTATAAAAAGAGAAGTGTAATTGGTGTGCAAACTCTCACAGCGTGCGACAGAGAGAGAGAGAGAGCCAATGGAACGAAATGGTGCTGTACGAGAT